TAATAGGGATGACGAGTGACTCGAAAATCCAAACTTTTCGGAGGAGTGGGGGGTGGGGGGGGGGGGGGTTGGCGAGAAACCGATCTGTTACTGCACTTAGTGTCGCCACTACTTATATGTTAGAGTTAAAAGAATTGCCATATTATGATTAATTTTGGTTTTTATATTAAAAAACTAACTAAAATCGAGTCGCACAAACTTTGTAAGCATTTTTATAGTTAATAGTGTATTCGTATATAGCATTGTTTTCATTTTCATTAAATTTATTTAAACTGTAAATTAAAATTATTTTTATTTCAGGTAATGGAACTGCCGGAGAAAAAACTGATATGACACTGGAAATGATGCTACTATTAGCAAATGACACTCGAAATTTTTCCGAATATTCTCTACAAGATGCCTTCAAACAAGTTAAGATCAATCAGATCAACTTTGCACTTCGGCTGAAAGAAACATAATCATACTATTGATACGAAAATTAAACCCTACGGCTGAAGCAGTGGCGAGACTGTTGTGGCGCCAACCACGCAATGTGTATGGGGGGGGAGGGGTGTAGAGCACAAACTCCGACCATAAATAAAATAGAAAAGTTAAACCATTATTTATAGTTTGATAGTGACTTTGATAGTGGCTTTTATAGTGGCTTTGATAGTGGCTTTGATAGTGGCTTTGATAGTGGCTTTGATAGTGGCTTTGATAGTGACTTTGATAGTGGCTTTGATAGTGGCTTTGATAGTGGCTTTGATAGTGACTTTGATAGTGGCTTTGATAGTGGCTTTGATAGTGGCTTTGATAGTGGCTTTGATAGTGGCTTTGATAGTGGCTTTGATAGTGGCTTTGATAGTGGCTTTGATAGTGGCTTTGATAGTGGCTTTGATAGTGACTTTGAATGTGGCTTTGATAGTGGCTTTGATAGTGGCTTTGATAGTGGCTTTGATAGTGGCTTTGATAGTGGCTTTGCTAGTGGCTTTGATAGTGGCTTTGATAGTGGCTTTGATAGTGGCTTTGATAGTGGCTTTGATAGTGGCTTTGATAGGGGCTTATATCATTATCACCATCACCACCAACGCCCCTTCAGGCCTCAATATTTTAGTGCCAGTTCATCCCGCATCTAGCCTGTTGTAATGTTAGGCCTCTCTCCTTCAACACTTTCTCCATAGATCTTCTCCCATGGTTCTTTTGGGCGTACTCGCTTTTAGTGGCTTTATCACTTAAATATTTTGTGTATGAATGGTTGAGTTTGGTTTGGTTCAAATTGTTTAAACCTTATTTTACAGTTGTTTTTATTTATATAAACACAATAATTCGACACAAATATTATATTGTACTTACAATTTTAGTTTAATAACTATATAGTTCTCTGCAATGTAGTTAATTCATAACATATTATGCGATATAAACATTACCATTAGCTGTTGTGAGATATTGCTTATACTCTCGTTTACATGAACGGAGGTATAGGCCGTCACAGACATTGCTCTAATCATGAGCAATCGTAACCGAGCTATTGGTGTCGGCCTTTTAAGATCAGTGATTATTTTTTTTTAAATTCTGATATTTAATATAAATCTTGCAGTAAAGTTTATTTTGTACATTGTAATAATTTATTTGCATTGTAGACTTTTTAAACTCTACAGTTGTATTATATGTGATTAAAAATAGATTGCGGTGGTTATTTAACCATTTTCATTGTATTTAATGAGTAACGAAATGCATAATCATTATAGAATAAAAACATACGAAATATTTTTTTAGTAATGAATTAGCAATGTATTCATATATCCCACATTGAATAATTGTATTTCAAAAAATTATAAATGGTAAAATACCCTCTACCCCATTCGTATCATTTACATAGATTTGCGACGTTCTACTTATGAAGAATATGTTCGTAGCGGATACAACACAGACATTGTTACACAACACAGCCTAGGTGTAAATGTAAAGTAATAAATCGGGAATTCCCAATGTTAGGTAATAAATCGGAAGTTCCCAAATGACTGGGATGGTGTAGATAGTGGAATGGTAGAGCGCATTACTGCTAACCCGAAAATCACCAGTCGGTTTGGAATAGTACATACCACAATGTCCCATGGACCGTCAAATTAGAAAGAACACTCTACTTTGATATCCTAAGAATAAGTAATTTACAGCAGACGCTTATCTTGGGGTCAAGGTCGAGTGTCAACAGTTGTTAAATGGGATAAATCCATGAATGTGTTTCGTTTATATTAGCCGGGTTTATTTATAGCCCACTCCTGTTGTTTGTGTGAAATCAATGTGTTCAAGCCATAAGGCTACACCAGGTTTTATTACCGTGGTGTACAGGTTATATGCGAGACTGGGAACTTTAGGGTTAGTGTGTTTCAGTGGCGTAGCAAGGTCGGGTGTCACCCGGTGCGGCACTTAATGGTGTCACCCCCCAGAGGCGTAGCGACATTTCCCGGGGACAAACTTTCAATTTTCGATTTGCACCCCCCCGCCCCCCGCTCAAACTTTCGATTTGCACCCGCCCTCTCAAACTTTCGATTTGCACCTGTTATTAAAAGACTATTTAACACTCAAATTAATCACTTAATCAAGTGGAATTATCATTTTTCTCTATATATTTTGCTCTTTTTTGCCTAGGTGTCACCCCCCTGAATGGTGTCACCCGGTGCGGTCCGCACCCCCCCCCCCCCCCCCCCCCCGCTACGCCTCTGGTGTGTTGTAATAAAGAAAAGGGTTCAACTTAGGACCGAGGAACGTCATTCAGACAAAATCCCATGAAACGAACAATTGTGTTTTCTGTAGTCTACTATATAGTTATTCACCCGCGCATAAATATTGTAAACAACTAAAAAATGAACTCTTTATATATTTATTATCAACACTCTTGTCACTGTAATAAAGGAAATTTGTCAAAATCAGGAGATTTTTTCATTTGTTTATCCAAGCTGACAGTTTAAATCATTTGTCTAACTACCTTGATACAATTATTGAATTACGTTTTTAAATAAACAATCTTATTTAAGTTTTCTTTTATGCAAAAGTTGTTCGTGTTTCGTTTTGTATTTTATTTCAGTTATTAGCCGCTTACAACATGCACACTTTGGTTAAAGTCCCCCAATACTGTAAAACGTGTATACGCCTTTGAAAAGAATTCATCGTAATCGATTTTATAGTGGCAGATGGCCTGCTAAAGATAAATATTTATTGGTGACTGGGTCGCTTATCGCAATAGTTGTGATCATTGGCTTCGAAGCAGAAACATCTACAGTATGCAATATCTACGAGAAACAGATTTATAAATACTCGTTCAAGGACTTATTACTCTGTCATTTGGTTCTGGTTATTTTTTGCGCACAGAACTATATCGTGAGTAGCTAAATTTGGAATTATTGAAACATATGTCTGTGAGATTTAATAAGAAAATATACATTTAATTTAGTTTTGATTTTTCCGTGATGTAAATGTTAATTTTGAATAGATGATAACTTTAACTAATAAATCTCACAATTTGCTAGCTTGAACTAAGGGAACTTTGTCCGGTCAGCGTTCTTGGCAATTTGATTTGATAAATTATTAAATTAAAAAAATAAAATAGTAACTTAGGTTTTATGAGTAAAAACGACAGAAACTAATAGACGATCAGTTATAAACTTATGATCAATGACTATGACGGTATTTATCTATTTCACATATCGAAAACATCAAGAGGTCTTATATCACATAGATAACAGTTCTCACTTATCTAAGCCATATACGAATATCTATATATATATAAATAATTCTTTTCTTGGAGACGTTAGAAAACAAACTGCAAGCGCGCCTTGCAGTCCCTTCTCTTCTTCTCTAACACTACCGCCGCCACCCCCCCCCCCCCCACATGGTCTGGTGAGCTGTGGTTCACGCTAAATGTTACAATCATAGAGCCGTGTTTAGTGACGGCTATTAAGGGCAGATAATTTAGTTTGAAACTATTTTAAACTTAAGAGGAGGTAACTAAGAGGAGGCTGCTTTCACGGGGGGGGGGGGGGGGGGGGGTGGGCGTAGGGTAGGGGTTGGGGGAAAGGGGGGGGGGTGTTAGTGTTTTAAAGCAAATATTTTCAGTGGCAGTATTGGTACTGTCGAATTCACAAATTATGAATTACTGAAAAGTAGAAAATAAAACAACTAAATAGCGGCGTATGATACGCCGCGGGTCGGCTCGTTATATCTAGATCTAAATGAAAACGTTTTTTAACTTTTAAAATACGGATACAGAATTTACTAACAGACGGTTATGTGTTATTCAAAGTCAGCGCAAGTCATATTTGGTGTGTCGCTTCTTGTGATCCCAAGAAATACAACATCGATCCATTTCGTTTGCACATTTTCTTGAATTAAATTGCCTAGCTAATTGTGATATATAAATACTTAAGCCTACGTTAAGGGTTGGGTAATAAAAGATGGGTTTTGTTTGGTGAAATACTTGTTCCAGATAAAGAATTAAGTCGGATTTAGATTAAACTATATATATATATATATATATATATATATATATATATATATATATATATATATATATATATAATGGAGGCATTTTTTAAAAACCCACAATGATCAGTTTCCTACCTATACAATTGATTTGAGTCGTATTTAACTTGATCCTTAAAGCTTAGCCTTATGATTATGTGGGTTAAAACGTTAAAGTTAGCTGCAGTCTCTATGTACTGTCTTCCTTGGGCTCACTCAGAGTTTCCTTCAGGCATCTTTTGTGGGGGAGGGGCACAGCCCTCCCCCCCCCCCCCCAATGGATTTAATATAAAATATATATACTTTCAACATTGTCCACCTACTCCCTGAAAAATTTAGCCCCATTCTATTTCTAAAGGACATATAACAAAAAAAAACAGTATTACCTTCATAAATTGTACGAGTATATTCTCGATCACAAATCTAAAATTTCTTAATTTTTTTTGTACATTTAGGAGTGAAGTCAAGTTCATAACACTACCTCAAATAACTATTAATAGAAGATGGTGTCCATTCTATTGCCTCGTAAGCCGCCAACATTATTAAAGATATTTAAGGATAGCATAGGAAACTACGATAACCGAGAGGATGATATCGGTGAAGCAGAGGTATATTGGAAACTTTTTCTATCAGTTTTAAAGTACAACCTGCCCAACTCTATAGACAGAGCAAATTTCATTCTGTATATGCTCTTTTTATTTATGTTTATATTTATGGGATTCATTGTATATATTCATGTAAGGATAAATGTGTTTTACAATCGTCCTTATAGAAAAAGTTTACTTTCCTTGTTTTATGGGCACACGCCTTTGCATCAATTAGCAGAGAAAGATTGCAAAACTCATTTGGTAGATTGTATTAAAGGGTTAAATCACTTTAAAGATGGCAAAGACTACTGTGGAAAAACGCCACTACATATTGCCGCAGAGAACAATAACAGAGAATTCGGTGAATACTCGCTACAAGAAGGTGCTTGTATTAATAACAGATCTGGGCACATTTGTTTTGGTGAAACCCCTTTACAAATAAGTGCCGAAAAAGGTCACACAGAATTTGTTGAACTCTTACTGAAATGGAAAGTACCTATGGATGATATGACGCTCTGGTCTAGAAAAACAGCTTTACATTTATGTGTTCAAAATGGACAATACAAAGTAGCTGATATTCTGTTGGAAGCGGGGGCTGATGTAAATCTGCCTGACAGCGAAGGTAGGACAGCTTTACATCTTGCTGTTACTCGTCGAAGCGAGAAAATGGTCCAACTGCTGTTAGAAAGAGGTGCGTCTATTAATAGCAAGGATATTTACGGCAAAACAGCCTTACACTATTGCACGGATACAAAATATTGCGCCGTTTTGAACCTTCTGCTGAGTGCAAAAGCTTCAGCAAATATCAGAGACAACGAAGGTAAAACAGCTTTACACCATGCTGCTATTAACGGGCATACTGAAACAGTTTTAACGCTGGTGAATGTTACAGATTTTATCGATACGACAGACAGCTGGAACAGGACAGCTTTACACTACAGCTCCCTGAGAGGTCACACGGAAGTCGTGAAGACCTTACTGGAAGCCGGAGCCGACTCTGGAGTCAAGGACGTTTTAGGGAAAACCCCGTTGCACTACAGCGCTGAAAATAACGTTGCTGACGCTATACGAGTGTTGATTCAAAGGGGCACTAACATCAACATTGCAGATAATTTTGGTCAGACAGCGCTAGACGTGGCAACATGGAAATCAAACGATGACGCTGTTGCAGTTCTAAGGCGACACGGCGCGAACTCATCAAAACACAGGAGAAATAAAATGATTACAGTATGGAATTACATCAGACTTCTTTTAGTTGAATTGGCTTTGGGTAAGTTTTTTTTTAATATTACACGGCCTTTCGACATATACATAGATATTCGTATAGCTAGTATTACTCTAAGCAGTAAACGATACTTCACCCCCAGCCTAACACTGGCAGAGCTTCTTTCACGAGTTGCCTTCATGGGAGTGGGTACTGCTTCTACCCCCCCCCCCCTCCCCTCAATGTAAATCCACCACGCCCCACTATCTGTAGAATAAAATATATAAGAATTTATGTACACTATATTATTTATTAATTCGTATTGTTTTTTTTTTCTTTTTTCTTCAGTAACCCAGATAGGGTATTCATATTTAGTAAACTTCAGAAGATCATGTTTTGGTAAATCTTCTACACAAGTACAAGACAAAACACAACAAAATATCGAAGCTACTTATGCAAAACAAACTACAACAACAATTACTGATACAACACCCACTGTTGATACAACAACTTACACAACACCAACTCATGATACAACACCAACTCATGATACAACACCAACTCATGATACAACACCAACTACAACACCAACTACTGATACAACACCAACTACTGATACAACACCAACTACTGATACAACACCAACTACTGATACAACACCAACTACAACACCAACTAATGATACAACACCAGCTAATGATACAACACCAACTACTGATACAACACCAACTACAACACCATCTAATGATACATCACCAACTAATGATACAACACCAACTACTGATACAACACCAACTACAACACCAACTAATGATACAACACCAGCTAATGATACAACACCAACTACTGATACAACACCAACTACAACACCATCTAATGATACATCACCAACTAATGATACAACACCAACTAATGATACAACACCAACTACTGAAACAACACCAACTGCTTATACAACAACAACAACAACTGATACAACACCAACTAATTATACAACATCAACTACTGATATAACACCAACTGCTTATACAACAACAACAACAACAACAACTGATACAACACCAACTACAACACCAACTACTGATACAACACCAACTACTGATACAACACCAACTAATGATACAACAACAACTACTGATACAACACCAAGTAATGATACAACACCAACAACAACACCAACTACTGATACAACACAAACCACAACACCACCAACTAATAAACCACTAACTACTGATACATCATACTCTAATAATACAACAGCACCTACGGATACAATTTCAGATACAAAATCTCTTAATGACATCACATTAATAACTGATCCAACACCAGCTACTGATACAACACCTTCTAATGATACAACAGCACCTAATGTTACAATACCATTTACAAATACAACATCAACAATTGCAAAAAAGCCAGCAGTAATTTTTAAGTATACTACTTCAATAACTACCAGTACCACAACAATAACAACAAATACCAATGCTACACAAGCTAGAACATCTGTTAAGTCAGCGATTGAAGCAAAAAGCCACCAAACACCTCCAGATTTAAACTGTGCACAAACTACGTCACAGGCAATAAAATCACCCTGCATGAAACACCAACCAGGTAATTCCAGTCCGCGACACCTTCAGGAAAACTTAACACAGTCCAAATGTAAACCGTTTGGGAAGAATCATCAGACATTCTTTGGAAAACATAAGGAGATGGACGATTCAGATACTGGACAGAAAACTAAACCTGGACAAAGTCAAACAGACGGTAGTGTATAAAACCTTTTTCAATTAGAAACCATCTTTAGTATTAAAAACTAATTCTGCTTGTCAGTTAATTAGTTAAAACTATTTCTTTTCAGATCCTGAAAATACGATGATCAAACAAATAAAACCCAGCATGGTTGGAAAAATAAAGGATACAAAAAGAAAAACAATGCTCAGGTTTGTTAAATATTATAATTATATTGTTTAAGTATCTGATATACATTATAAAACTGATGTTCTTTTTTACGATAAAAAACTGTGTTTGTGTGGTGGGGAGGGGGTGCACAAAAAGCTTTTCTGTATGTGTTACTTTGTCATACACCTTTCTATTTAGTGGCTGGAATGTAAATAAAATTTACTTTTGACTGTGGCTTATGCTTGACAAAAGACAAACAGGATGCAACTATACTTGGGCAGATTACAATTATATGATCAAAGCGTCATTCTTTCTTCGATAGAAATCTATGTGTATTGTATTTCCCCATCAGAAAAATTTAGTTCGTTCTAAGTACTAAAATACGTTAGCAAATCTAGTTTCTTGTGTTGGATTTCGCACATGAATTTAAGTTATTTGTTAAACTGCATTGCGTTTCTTCTATAGCCGCTCTATCAATAAATTACCTTTTAAAAGGGGCAAAGCGTGAGGGTGGAATATTTTTTCAGATAACTAACAACACAATCTAGTTTAACAGAACGTCGGCCAAATTCACCCCCCTCCCCACATTGCATCCGTAACTTAATAAACCCTAAGAGAGATGTAATCTACCTTTGTAAGTCTTACTTCAACTTGTAACACATGAAAACATATATTCCAGCAACAACAAATGGATTGGAACCCGCACTAGTCACGATTTATTAAACAAGACAAAGTGTATGAAGAACAATGCGGAGGTCGGTAGTGCTAAAAATTGCAGATACCAGCCTTTAGCCAGTCGGTCATATGGCTCTCTAAAATATAGCACAAGATATTTTAAGCAAAATACTTCAAGAAATAAACTTCACGTAGTCAATCACAGTGCTGTAAACCCTCATGCCTACTTCTACGGGAGAAAATACATCTGGAAATATAAAGTAAATCATTCATCAAAGTATGTCAAGAAAAAAATAAAGAGAACAAATAAAAAGGCTATGAATGTTAATGTGAAAAAATTGACAAAAGCAAACGTATTAGATTTCAATTTTAAAGAATCGAAAGAAACTAGGACTGACATGGAAGGCTCATTACCCACGCTAGCTGTGCTGGATTTGATTGGGTGTGCTCTAAATACCGTAACAATGAGAATAAAATCTAGTAAAAAAAATTTGACGGGATTGATCGCGTGAGTTGTATTGCATTTTCTTGCTGACATAACTAAATCCATACTTATATATATATATATATATATATATATATATATATATATATATATATATATATACATATACATACATATATATATATATATATATATATATATATATATATATATATATATATATATATATATATATATATATATATATATATATATATATATATATATAGTTTTTTATGATTTAACTGAGTTTATTATTTATGTTTCAGACATTTCAATCTAAAATACTCCCCAAACATCATACACCATTGCAGCGAGTTAAATGTCGAGAATGTGAAATACCTGGCTTCAGACAGCAATCAGAACATCTTCATTGGGCACGTCTAGAAGTGGATTTAGTTGTGTATTTAATTAATTTTACTTATTGTAAAAAAAAGTCTGCATCTATGAAGTACTTTGCAGTAATCATCAATGGGTTTAAATTGTTTCAAAATAAAAAATTTAGTACGGATTTTATATTTTGGGCAAGTGTATCATTTGTCTTCATTTGTTTTTATTAATACAAATCCTCATCATGTGTATACCTTAAATCTAATAAAAATATGTGTAAATATAACGTGTAGATTTGTCTGTTAAAAATTATACTATATGTATGTTTATGTCTGTAAACGAATTTATTTGTGAAATATAAAATATATAGTGTTTACGATTATGTAATACCTGTGAATGTTACACCCGCTAATATACCGAGTTCCTGTTGGAAATGTAAAAACTGCACAGCTATATCTACAAACGTTAGTTCTAAGAGTGAAAGCTTAATTGGGTTTTTTTGTACAGGTTATATAATATATATATAGAAATAGATATGTGCTTTAAAATATAGTCGTATGACTAAGTTAGTACAGGTTATGTATAACGAAATTAATATATCTTTTTTAAAATTATGGCTAGAAAACTAAGTTACTGCATGTAAATGTGTATGGATGAAGTAGAAAAGAAAACAAAGGCATTTCCTACAAAGTATTGCTTAAGTACATGTAGATTATTTTAGATTAGTTCAAGGAAAGATAACTCTGCACTAACGCAATGCGCTTAATAGAAAGATAACTATTAACGCAATGGGTTTATTGGAGAGATAACCCTATTAACGCAATGAGTTTATTGGAATGATAACTCTGTATCCATAATTGTATAGCTAAAAGATTAGGTGATGAAGAGTTTTATTTTTCAGACCGTGTAAAACGAAAACGAAAGTGGAATATCGGGAATTCCCTATTTGTAAAGTTTAGGGATTATCTTTTCTGCACTAAACGAGAGCTTTAATAGGGCAGCAAATACGAAATTATAAATGTTTGGTATTTTGGAGTAGCCTAAATATTATTATGCACATATTGTGTACATACATATTAAGTAGATAGAGAGAGTTAGACAGCGTCAGAATTTAAACACAAACAACACAACTATTGGAAAAGTATTTTTAGTTCTTTCTCGGAACTGGGGTTTTCCTAATATATATGTACACCTGTATACATATACCTATGTGTAATTTCATTTCTTACGTTAAAATGTTTTTAAAACAGAAGTTCCAGTAGTCTATCAACATAGGAAACCAGAATGGATTGTATTAGAAATAGCTTTTGGATTCTTTTAAGTATAATCACTTTAATCGACGCAGGTAAGGAAATTTACTGCTTAAGATTTTGACAAAACATGACTATTGCCTATAAAGAAAAATAAATATTTTTTTTTAATTAAAAAAAACCGAAAATTTGTAACAAACGTTCACACCACTTTGTCGACACTGTTGTTTTTTAATACTTTTTTTTGGTTTACTGTAGCTACCATAGTCCTGATTCCAACCCCAAACCACGACTCGAATTGCCGCCTCATACATTAATAACATTTATTTTATTCTAGAGCTGACGGCCGCCATTTTGGAATTCACCAACTTTTCACCCGAATCAACGAGATAGCGACTTATCAGTCGGTTTTTTATGCCATATCGCTTTTTTTTTTTTTTTTTGCAAATTTTCAAAATCTCTCCCCTCCCCTCCCCTCCCCTTATCGATACACACTGTAACTAAAATTGACCTCCACCCCATTAATATGACGTCATACGCCCGTGCCTTAGTCCACCTACCTTCCCCCTTCCTTCATTTTATTATTACATGAATTGTCTCCCTTACGCAAGGGGTTAAAATGAAACTATATTGTTTTGCAGAAACTATTAATTAAGTTTTCTAATTTTTGAATGAAGTTAAAGAAGTACTGCTTACTGTTTGCTAGCGGAAAATAATGTTAATCTGTCCTAACATTAAATGTATTGATACATTTTCTTACAATTTACAGAAAAATAAGTATTCTAAAGTAAGTAACTACTACTGTCTCAAAGAGAGGGCATAATGGTTATGATTATCAAACTCTAGGGCACTCGGTTGTCATTATGAGTGACGACGTAATCGAACAGTGTATTCGAAAGTAAATAATCGAGTCCACCCAGGTACCATTCCACTCGGATAAGTGCGGGGCGAATATATATATATATATATATATATATATATATATATATATATATATATATATATATATATATATATATATATATATAGTGCTAGCTGCATACCCGTGCTTCGCCACTGTGAATCTTTTTTCCCACGTTTGCTTTAACTTGCTTTCGCGTCTGTTTGTTTGTTTGTTTTTCCATGAAATCTTGCGATCGAAATTTCGGGCACATCCCAGTTAGCTATCGCGCTGAAATTTTCAGGGAAGCTTTGTTTCCGATGACAATACAATATTCAATTATTATTATTACTAAATTGATCCATGGAAAAATTTTATTGATCATTTTTAGACTCCTATTGATTTGTACAAAAAAGGGACATAACCTAGTAATTGTAATTACTTTTAGTTCAATCAGAAAACGTGGTTTTTTTTAAAAATTCAATGATAATTTTTTCAAGTTTTAGATTCTACAAGACTTACCCGTCATCCCTTGGATGACTGTGGGTTTCGGGGTTTATCCATAAAAAAACATCACGTCTGTCAAATATCGTCACAAAAAACCAGATCCCACATTCCAAAAGACGTTTTTTTTTTTATCTTTTAAAAATACCTATTTCGGCTGAGCAATAAATCTGACCACACTATCACATCATATACTGACGTCACAGGTGACCTACTCAGCTCTATTTCACCTGCGCAGTGTCCCGCCAAGTCTCAGACAACATGTTTTTATCGTTTAAAAAAAACTATTCCGGTCTTGCATGTCTCTGACCAGATTATCCCTTCATATGCTTAGAACAAAGAAACAGGTGAACTCAACTTCTTCTTTCCTGAATCCCGCCAATTTCAGATAGGCAACTTTATCATTCACATCTAAAAAATAAATAAAAAATCGAAACATTTTTTTTAACATTGACGTGATGTGTCTAGAATCCGTGCCACCTACACCCAAACTTAGCTACCTAAACTCGTGACTTCACTGATGTTTTTTTGTGGTATAATTTATATGCAACTTGATTTACGCGCATAGGCCCTATCTTAAATTAGCCAATTCCATAGCTAAACAAACAAAGATTTATATAAAATAATGAAGGGCTGAAATAGTTTAGTATAGAAACTCATTATTATCTAGATCTAGATAGAATTATCTAGATTCTACGATTGGTTTGCTTAAGTCTAGTTTTTGCGTAACTCTTGCTAGCTCTAGATCAGTGTTTCTTCCAGACTTTTTTCTCCGGGGGGCACTTGAAATCTTCGGGGGGGGGGGGGCGGTAAACTTTCTTCGGGGGGGGGGGGGGGGGGGCGGACACTGTTAAAAGTATATATTTTCTGTATAAATTATATAAATTTCATTTCGTTCGGGGGGGGGGGGGGGGGGGGGGCGGTAAAAAATTTTCGGGGGGGGGGGCGCAAGGCCCCCCGAAGAGATGCCTGGAAGACACTCTGCTCTAGATTAGACCTGTTCTAGATCTAGATAGATAAATCACAAAGATTTATATCAAGTATTTAAGTAAACAAATCATGTAACGTCACTATTCTCTCAAAGTAACGCCAATGTTTTAAACTTTTATAATTAATGTGGTTAATCTACCAATGAATAAATCAATTAATTAATTAAGGTCTTTAAATAAATTTATGATTAACAGTCTGTCTCAAAACAAAAATTAAATTGTTCTCTACGTACATACTATTTTACAGCTCAAATAGTGCAAATTCTCTCCAGTAGCCAATCAGACAAACAAATAAATATTCAAACATGTAAAGAAACTTGAGTTTTAGTAGTATAAAGAAAGATAGATAGCGATAACTGAAGGAAGGAAGGAAGGACTGACACAATACCAGCCGGATTATATTATAGATATGCAACTGACGTCTAGTCCGATGTGAAAGAAAAAGATGAATATGTTTTCCCGCCTTATTAAAGTATTAGGTCTAAAGTGGTAGTTCAAATTTTATTACTATGTTACATAGATCGAGGGACGGTGTGGTTGAACAATAGAACGTTTGGCTGCTAACCCAAAGATCCAGAGTTCTGATCCTGGGTTCGAAACCGTATGAAGTTTATGTGTCTACTCAGCTCTAATGGGTACCTGGCACACGGACCTGACCACACTATCTCTTTATATTTCGAGATAACTGAAACAGATGCAGTCTACCTTACCTGCCAGGATAGTAATGTATTAAACTTTTTTTTTAATTTTAATTCCAGCTCCCCCAACGTTGGAAGAACTAACAGCTCTACAGTGTAACTTTGACAGACCATTCAAATGTCTGCCTTATGGAGTCTGCTATAACGCAGACGAGTTCTGTCATGCTGGAACTGTCGAGTCGTGTTTCCCTACGAACGTCATCACTAACCAGCTGGAGAACTGGTGCAAGACCACTGGTCAGTTCAGACCCGAGTTGATGAGAGACCCCAAGCTCTGTGCTCTCGCTTGCCAGGCACGGTTCCCCTCACTCAATCTCTCCAACGGTCAGTTGCTGATTTTTATGTGTCTATTAAAGTGGGAAGTTTTAAGTCAAATTTATATGGTTTTATATGGTTTCATTAACTCAATCTCTCCAACGGTCAGTTGCTGGTTTTTATGCGTCTTTTTAATTTATAAGTTTTGGTTGTTTTTATTTATTTCTAGACATACTAAAGTGTCTTCACAAATATAGAATATTTGATTATAGATAAAAACTTTTAAAATAATTCATTACAAATTAAATAGAAGGGGTAAGGGGTCAGACATTTGTAAAAAGGTGTAATACGGGTGGGGGGTGTCAAGAAAGTGTGACTTCAGTCTTTTGAAGTATAAAAACATTTGCTAATGAATGTTAGCAGGTTTTACTAACATTAAATTGAGATTAAATATTTCAATGTGTTATATTCCGACTTGTATTTTCTAAAAAAAAAATGAGTATAAAATAGTGAATAGTGGTTTTTTTTTCGGCACACCGAAATATTTTATCGTAATATGAGAAGGGAGTATAAAAAGAAAATAATTAGGTACCTTGTACCTAATACAAATTTATACAAATTTATAAACTAAAGTTCTTCATTTTCTGAATATTTTATCCTGAAGAATACAATAAAAAAATACCGGATTATAACTGTTTTTTTTTCTAAATAGCTGTGGATCAACTGGTCAATATAACCTGTCCACGTGACAGACCGTTAAAATGTCTGCCAGACGGCATCTGTCACGGTTTTGATGAGTACTGTCATGCCGGACAAAACAAATCGTGTTTGGACGTGACGATGTCGGATAAAGAACTTTTGCAGTGGTGTCAGGACAAGGGACAGAGTGACTTAGCCTTAATGCCGGACCCAGCCTGCAAGTTTGCTTGTCAGGCGAAATTTCCATCGCTGCATCATGAAGGTAACTAAGCATGATATATTTATTTAACTTTGAAAACATTTTAGCACATTGCAGGTACTCTGAATGGGAGGTGAAAAGGAGGAGAAAAGTTGAAAATTTGAAAATTTGTATTTTTCAACGTTTTGTATTTATGTGGAAGGAAAAAAATAACAAGAAAATAATTTTGTAAAATATTTGAAAAACAATTTTAAAGCATTTTCCAAATTTTGTGGTAACTTTTAAACTACGTGTTTACATTATTCATAATAGGGCTTAAATTGTCCAAACATAGTGTATTTGATACCATTAGAAAGCTTAGAACGCTGTAAATATAACAAATATATTGTTTTTTTTTCTTACACACATTTCGACTATATTTAATTATAGTAATTGTCTGTAGGAATCTCCAACATTATTAATATTCACTATTGTGATGTTTCTTTCACCTTTTTTTTCTCAAACCACATTTCTATATAAAGATTTGATTTTCTACTTGGGTTAGTCCAAATCTTCATTTCTTATTTTAGCACTTTTGCCTTGCTACCAAATATAACTTTCAATTAAAAATTCAAATTCAAGTACCCTTTTAAAAACCACACGTTTTCCCCCAAATTCATTGTAGTTTTTTTTTACTATAGAGTAAGTGCTATATATAATTAAAACAACAATTTAGCCATGCCAAAATTTAAGAACACAAACTTTGTAGATCTTTAGCATCAACCCATTGTATTTATTAATCTTCATTAAGGGGATATAACCAAGCTCGTTTAATTTCGCTGTACATTTTAATTTAGCTGTTTCCCTTGACTTAGAAAATTCCAAAAATAATAGAGCTTCATGTTAGACTTGACTGGCGTTTCTCTAATCACTAAATCTATTTACAAATAAAAATCAGTGTAAATTATGGATTAATCATTCTCTTTTTATTATAACTTCAAACATTTTAAGCTTGATATACATTTTAAAATTGTGTTTACAAAAGAACTGTTTTGCAAATATACACTTGTGACGTCACACTTTCTAAACACCAGTTGTTTGAAACCCCCTTCCTAAAGTGTGACGTCATTTATGCACTCACCGAACACAAAAGTTCCTTCCAGCAAGAGAAAAAAATATTCCCAAACAAAACTTAAATTATAAATTATTGTATTGTTTCCTAACACCAGCTTTGGAGAAACTAGCAAACAAAACGTGCCCACTGGAGAGACCGTTAAAATGTCTGCCTGACGGCATCTGTCACGGTCTGGATAAGTACTGCCATAACGGTATGGTTACGTCGTGCTTCAACGAGACAATGATGGAGGAAGAACAGTTGCAGTGGTGTATGGATAAGGTAGTGATTAACGTCACTTCTATGCCAGACAAAGCCTGCCAGTTCGCCTGTCAATTTAAATACCCAAACTTACTTCGTGCAGGTATATTATTTTTTCCATTAAAACTTGTGTTATATGTTGATTTAGTTAACTTTAGTTTAGTATCTATAACACTATATCTATATGTATAACAATAGAGGCGGATGGGACTAGTACTGGCCACACTATCCCCTGATGTACAGAAGTCGTAGAAACGGATGCACTCTCTATTTTTCATTTTCTGTTTGGTGTCCCCTCTTCCCCTACTATTATTTAACTGGATAAGTTTTTTAAAACAGTAAATTTTACGATTTATCGATTTGGTGTCGCCCCCTCCCTAATGGTATATTCCATTGCGGATAGCACCTGCCCCGTCTTGTGAAGCGACTAAAAGTCACGCATGCGCTTAATAAAAAACTGACTTAAATAATAAAATGGTTAAATGAACATAGTTCACATAATTCATTACTCAGCGACGTAAATTTAATTACTGCAGTCACTTTTTTGACAAAGTAATGCTGAAACTAAACTATTCAAAACAGTTTTAGATCAGTTGGTCAATAAAAGCTGCCCACAAGAAAGACCATGTAAATGTCTGCTCGATGGCGTCTGCCATGGTTATGACGAGTTCTGCGATGCCGGACGAAACAAATCATGTTTTGACGAGAGTATGTCGGAGAATGAACTCATGCAGTGGTGTCGAGACATAAAACCGAATGACGTCAGTGTGTATCCACAATTGTCCTGCATTCATGCCTGTCATGCTAGATTCCCTTCTATGTCTAGCCAAGGTATTTATTGTACTGAACTTATTTATGAAACTTTTTTTTTATTTAACACTTAAAATTTAAGGTCACTTAAATTAATATTAATTAGTTTACCTTTTAAAAAGAATTTAATAAACATTAAATTTACTTTTGTTTATTTAATCAGGTGGTGAAAACGGAATCTGGCTTTATCTATTTATAGGATTAATTGTTGTAGTTTTAGTAACGGCTGCCGTAATTGGATTAGTTTGGAAAAAACGAGACAAGATACCTCCTGTATGCTCTAGATTTTTGTGTTGCAAGAAGGAAACACCAGGTAACGTTTTAATGTTCTTAAAGAATCAGTGCTGTCTCAAGTCAGGTGTCCCACGGTGCAATAGCTAAGGTGCCATTCCCTTTCTTCTCCCCCCCCCCCCCCATCTCTACACACACAGCTCTCGACATTTTTTTTCGTTTCAGTATCACCATTTAAGGCCTATGATTTTAAATGGATAAAACAATGGTTTTTTTAGTACATTTTGCTCTGTTTTTAGATTTGGTGTCACTCCCCCCCCCCCCCACCACCACCACACCCCGCACACACACAAACACACTTAGTGAAGCATTATATAAGATTGTGTTGTGTTTTATTTAGTTATAGTTAATAGACTTACAGTATGATTTTAACTCTGGTTCTTGAATTAGGAAATGGTACATTTTGGTAGTATTATTACTTAAAACAATTTACATATAAAATTACTCCATTTGTAATTTATAATGTTTTAGTCAATAATATCTAATCTTGTTTTTATTTAAATAATTTTAATTTTAAGTTTGAATTATTTCCAATTCAGTAACAATAGAAGCTGAAATCGATGAAAATAATGCCATCAATGACAATGCGGATAATAACACTGGTGAGAAAGGAAGAATGATGATGGATGCTGGTGATGCTGGAGATGATATCAATAAAAGAGGAACCAAAGCTGTGAAAAACACCTCAAAAATTGAAGCACAATCTTCTGAGGACGAACAACTTATCGGCGAAAGGAGAGAGTATGTTCCAGTGCCTGTGGCAGAAGAAGGTAAAGAGGCAGAAGAGGACGAGGAAATCGTATAATATAATATGCCATTGAAGACATCCAAGTATGTGGATTACAAAAAAAAAAATCAAATAAATAACAATAAATTGTATTATTTTAGCGAAAGATGTGTATTGAGAATTAAAGGTTGTCTTATGCTATTCAATTACCAGAAGGAAAAAAATCGTTTTTATTTGGACTTGTTTATTGAGATGGACATATCAGATGGATATAAGTTCATACGTATTTAATAACTTTTTTTCGCCTCAACTAACTCTCTGCAAGACTGTTTGAAAATGCTATTTCTATGTTTAGTAATAATAACAGTTTTTAGAGTGTATTATATTATTTTTTACATATAAATTATTTGATTGGAACTTCGTGCTTACAATAGTATTAAATTTCATCACATGTTAACAATGAAATAATTAATTAATGTATGTTTGATTTGGTTAATTCAAAGTATTTATACTATAACCATGGTTTTAAAGCAGTTTTTAATTATAAAATAATATATATCATTCAACAAAAATGTATATTTGAATTTTACAATTTTATTATTTTTATTGCCAATGAATTAACATTTTATCATTACCTTTTTTTTTGGGAAAATACACATTTTTCAGTATCTTTGTGAAGCCACTAGTATTCAAAACGGTATGTATACTTAATTTTAAAAACATAAATACACTGTCGTTTTTTTTAGTTTTTGTACATTGTAACCATTTAGCCTTCTAGTTAACTGTACAGTCTTTGTTGTAGAGTAGTTCCTGTGTATATGTGATCTTTCTTATAATACTAAAAAGCCTTGCGTTTTTAATTACACGGACAGTAAAGAAAACGGGTGCCCGAAATATCGATTTTTTAAAGTTAGTATAATCGGGGAGGGGGGGGGGAGGTGAATCTAGTCTATGTAAATGTCCATTTGATGATTTAAACATGACAAAATGTATATACTACAACAATTACCATATTACTACTTTGTATTTCATTAAATTATCTTGCTTATGCCAAGAAACAGACGTAAAATGTAACGAACACGATGTAGTCTACTATATACGACGCAGCAACAGAAAATATCATTTAAAAACGTTTATTGTCATGAACACTGTACACCAGCCTTTGGTTAATATGGGGATGGGGTCACTAAATAAGCGCTCGTTAAATAATTATTTTTTCAACGTATTGACGCTATATTAAGCAAGATTGTGCAAATAAATAAACAATTTTATCTGGTGCACTTATAACCCCCCGATCGTGTACAGTGACACACAATCGGAGGCCATGTGCTTGATAAAGACTTTACCATTGACTAGTCATTTAGCCAATTTTTTTATTGTGTTGTCACCCCTCACTTCTGTTGCTGTTGGTGTTTTTTTCTTCTCCAATTATATTTTTTATTCTTTGTTATTTATTTATTTCCAACTCTTTTCTGCTTCTTCGTTTTTCCTTGTAATATTAGAGTATCCGCCAACACTATCAAGAAGTATTTGTTTACTTCAGACTGCTTTTCTTTCTGGATTTGCTTTCATAGCCTTTGTCCATTGAAAAAAAAAAACAATCTGCAAGGCCTCATCTGCTCAGGGGTCCGAATTCATGACTTTTGGCAATTAAACTCTATCCCGTCCAACTAAATCGTTCCCCAACACTTTTCAATAACTCTCATGTCCTTATCAAATCTCCACGCCAGGATTTTTTTGTTCTTTTTTTTTTGTTCTTAACCTTTGTGGATTTAACTGTTAATGTTGTGTTATACTATAAACCTATAAGCAAATTCCTTGTTTTTAATTTGTGACACTCTTTTCCAGTTCTTCTTTTATCGAATATCAAATTGTGTGCAATGTGTAATAATAATCTATCTGAATGTAATTTTTTTAAGTATACCAACAGTCTCGGTCTAGAATCTCGGCCCAAAACATCCCATTCAGAGATTAATTTTACCAAGTACGTTTTCAGCTGGTGACAACCAGAGGCGTAGCGATTGGGGGGGGGGGGGAGCAGGGGGGACATATGTCCCCAGGCGTCGACCTAGGGGGGCGCCAAAATGGGTTGCAAAAAACAAATTAAAATGTCAATTTAGCTGCATCTTTTGCAGTTTGAGGGGGGGGGGGGGGGTTGCAAATCGAAAGTTTGAGGGGGGATGCAAATCAAAAAATTGAGGGAGGGGGGGTGCTAATTGAACATTTGCTCCCGACGGGGGCGCCAAATTGAAAGTTTCTCCCCGGGCGCCGGGAAGGGTCGCTACGCCTCTGGTGACAACTGTACAGTTTTTCTGCGATGTTGGATTCACCCATAAAATCAAGCGTTTAAAAACTGTGCTCACTTATTCAAATTAAAAAGAAAATTATTGTCTCGGTAAAGTTTTAAACCTCTTGGGCGAAAGATGCACACTACTAAACTCAGTTGTTAAAGCTACTAAACAAATCGTTTTTTTTCCTATAAGAAAAGAATGTGTGTTTTTTTTTTATATTTTACCGTTTCGCTCCTGAGTATCATCTCCTTAAATATGTTACAGTAAACTTTTAACAGAATGAATCATCATTCAACAACAATATTCCTTGATGATAGTTAACTGCATAAATGTGTGTGTTAAAGTCAAATTTAACTCAAATAATAATTATCTAGCAGCAAAGTATTATGTGTGATATTTAATTATATGATTATAGTCACTTGCTGAGACCTGGTCTTAAGCTGAGCATGTACATAATACTCTCAAATTCCATGACAAATACAAGACAGCTTACTCAAACGTCTGACAACATTTCTTCATCAGGCATTATGTTAATACTAAACTACTGTTAAAATTATTGTGTTACATGTTTTAAACTTACCTTAGGGCGACATTATGTTTGTTTACCACGCCAAACTACTTATGTCACAATATCTCGCTTGTGTGAGGTGGAGTTTTACGAATCTTTTTACATTCTCGTATACGAAGTATATAGAAAGTATTGTAATCGTGCAAAACAAAATCATCGAGATCTTTTTTTTTACAAATCTCGACGTTTCACACCTCCCTGAGGAGAAAAACATAGTTTTGTAATTTTGTCCGTATGTCTGTGTGTGTGTGCATGTATGTGTGTATGTGTGTCTGTAAATACGATGTAAAAAAAATTTTCTACGAGATTCTATTCTATTATTAAAAGTTTAAGTAATAAAAAAATGGATTTAAAATGTTTTCTATATTCCGAGTGCCATCCCGCGTAGTGTTATATAAGAATATTCGAGAAAGTTTAGGAGAGATTACTCTTGCTTTATTATGAATACAAATCATCATCATGTTGTATGTCATAAATCTAATAAAAATATGTGTAAATAAAGTGTTGATGTGTCTGTTAAAACATATACTGTAAACGAATTTATATGTGGGATTTGATATATAGTGTTTACTATTATGTAACACCTGTGAATTTATACCCGCTAATATACCGAGCTCCAATTGGAAATATAAAACTGCACATCTATATATACAAACGTTAATTCAAAGAGTGCAAACTTAGTTGGTTTTTTGTACAGGTTTTATATATATATATATATATATATATATATATATATATATATATATATATATATATATATATATATATATATATATATATATATTGTACAGGTTTTATATATATAAACATATATATATATATATATATGTGTGTGTGTGAGTATGTATGTATGTGTGTGTGTGTGTGTGTGTCTGATTAAAAATAATCATACGACTAAGTTAGTACAGGTTGTGTATAACAAGGTTAATATATTATTTTAAAATAGGGTTACTGGATGTAAACGTGTAGGGATGGAATAAAAAAAAGAAAAGTTCAAGGGATAATAACTATGTGCTTACTCAATGCGCTAATCTTGGAAATGTAAAAACTGCACAGCTATATTTACAAACGTTAGTTCTAAGAGTGAAAGCTTAGATTGGGTTTTTTTTGTACAGGTTATATAATATATATATAGAAATAGATATGTGCTTTAAAATATAGTCGTATGACTAAGTTAGTACAGGTTATGTATAACAAAATTAATATATCTTTTTTTAAAATTATGGCTAGAAAACTAAGTTACTGCATGTAAATGTGTATGGATGAAGTAGAAAAGAAAACAAAGGCATTTCCTACAAAGTATTGCTTAAGTACATGTAGATTATTTTAGATTAGTTCAAGGAAAGATAACTCTGCACTAACGCAATGCGCTTAATAGAAAGATAACTGTTAACGCAATGGGTTTATCGGAAAGATAACTTTATTAACGCGATGAATTTATAGGAAAGGTAACCCAATTAACGCAATTAGTTTATTGGAAAGATAACTCTATTAACACAATGGACTTATTGGAACGATAACTCTATTAACACCTTGAGTTTATTTTGAAAGATAATTCTATTAACGAAATGAGTTTATTGGAAAGATAACTCTGTTGACGGAATGGGTTTATTATAAAGATAATTCCGTATCTATAACGAGCTGACCCGCGCCGTAGGCATACGCCGCTATTTAGTTGTTTTATTAGCTACTTTTCATTATTTTATAATTTCTGAATTCGACCCTACCCTCTATTTCCCCCCTCCCCCTTTCCTCCTTCCAGACCGTGTAAAACGAAAACAAAAGCGGAAATCGGGAATTCCCTATTTGTCTTAATTATAAAGTTTAGGTATTCTCTTTTATGCATTAGACGAGAACTTTAATAGGAGGCTAAAGTAGAAACAATGAATGATTTATTAGGTATTGCGGAGTAGGCCTATATATTATTATGTACATATGTAGATAGAGAAAGGGAGAATACGTCTGAATCCACGGCCTAATTTAAACACAAAGGTTATATAACTGTTGGAATATTATTTTTAGCTCTTACTTGGAACTGGGTTTTTCCGAAAATATTTGTACACCTGTACACATAAACGTATGTGTAGTTTTATTTGTTACGTGAAAATGTCTTTGAATCAGAAGTTGCAGTAGTCTATTAACATCGGAAACCAGAATGGATTGTATTAGAAATAGCTTTTGGATACTTTTCAGCATAATCATTTTAATCGACGCAGGTAAGAAAATTGTACTACTTAAGATTTTGTCAAAACATGTATTGCCTAGAAATAATTTTTTTAAAAAAATTAACAGATTTGGAAATTTGTAACAAACGTTCACACATTTTTGTCAACACAAATTTTAAAATAATTTTCATGCTATTGTAGTTACCATAACCCTGACTTTAACGAAAATCTTGACAGGAATTGCCATCTCAGACAGTAAAAAAAAAAACAATTATTTTATTCTAGAGGTGGCTGCCGCCATTTTGGAATTCATCACCTTGTCTAACGAGTCAGCGATATAACATCTAACGAGTTGGCTGTCTATGCCGTCATGCTTTTGTTTGTTTTTTTATTTGTTTTGTTGTTGTTTTTTTTTTGGTTTTTTTTTTTTTTTTTTTGCAAATTTTCAAAATCTCCACCTAACCTCACCCCTCCACCCGTCTATACACAATATCACAAAAATTGACCTCCGCGCCAATGACGTCACACTTCCATGTCTTAGTGCACCTCCACTCCCCATCCATTCATTTTCTTATTACATGCATTGTCTCCCTTACGTAAGGGGCTAAATTCAAACTATGTTGTTTTGTTTTGCTGAAAATACTTATTCCGTTATCTCCCTTTAAATGAAAATAAAGAAGTACTGTTAACTGTAAATCAGGCCTAACATCAAATATATTTTCCCTAACAATTTACATAAAAATTTTATTTTAAAGCAAGTAAAGTTTGTGAAAATACTTTTTTTTAAGTGTTCATATTAGTATTATAACCACGTCTTTAATATTCAATGGGCAAGGTTAAAAAAATGCCTTCATGCCTGTTGTAAAAATAAAGTTTTATTTTTATTATTATGTTCTCAACAAGTTCACTACTATCTTAAATAGGGGGCATAATGGTTATGAGTCTCAGACTCAAGAAAACTCAGTTGTCATTAAGAGTGACGACTAAAATCGAATAGTGTAGTCGAAAGTAAGTTGTCGAGTTAACCCAGATTTTAGATTCTATAGCAATGACTGAAGGAAGGAAGGAAGGAAGGAAGGACTGACACACTACCAGCCGGCTTACATTAGAGATATGGAACTGAAGTCTCAATCCATTGCTAGTCCGATGTGAAAGAAAAAGTTGAACATTTTTTTCGCCTTAAAGTATTAGGACTGAACTGCTAGTTCACATTTTATTACTGTAGTACAGAGATTGAGGGACACTGTTGTTCTTTCTTCTTCTTCTTCTTCGTACTTAATTTTAGTGTTGTAATTCCCTCTAACACAATAAAGTATTCGTGTCAACTGGTTATGCGCTATTTAGGCCGTTGACTCCAATTTCAGCTTGCTTTTCTTGTAGGATTTGCTTCCATAGTCTTTGTCCAACCAAGAACAAACTACAAGGCAGCAGTTGTTTGATTATGGAGTTGTCTCTCCTAGATGATCGGATGTTCCCCAGCTAACGAGCCTCGTCTGCCCCAGGGTTCGAACTCGGGACTTAATGGTTCAGCTACCATGAGCTTAACCGACCCGACGATGTGGTTGAATAGTAGAAAGTTCAACAGCTAACCCAAAACTCCCAAGTTCGGACCCCTGGCTTGACATCGTAGGACATTCTTGAGTCCTCCTAGCTCTGATGTGTACCTAACTCACGTTAGGGAAAGTGAAGGTGGATGGGTATAGTGCTGACCACACTACCCCTTTATATTATGAGGTCACTGAAACAGATGAAGTTTACTTAACCTGCTCCATAAATAGTAAAGTATCGACAGGATAACTTAAAGAGATGCGACATTGTATTAAACTGTTTAAAATTTTAATTTCAGCTCCCCCAACGTTGGAAGAACTAACAGAGCTAAAGTGTAACTCAGAAAAACCTTTCAAGTGCCTGCCGTACGGCGTCTGCTACAACGCAGACGAGTTCTGCCATGCTGGAACTGTCGAGTCGTGTTTCCCTACGAACGTCACCACTGACCAGCTGGAGAACTGGTGCAAGACCACTGGTCAGTTCAGACCCGAGTTCATGAGAGACCCCAAGCTCTGCGCTCTCGCTTGCCAGGCACGGTTCCCCTCACTCAATCTCTCCAACGGTCAGTTGCTGGTTTTTATGTGTCTATTAAAGTGAGAATTTTAAAATCGATTTTACTTATTTCCAGTCATACTAAAGTAACTTACAAAATTGAATATATTCGATTTTGGATACACTTTTAAAAATAATTTGCATCAAGTAAAATTGAAAAATACCTGAGATTTTTTTTTAAATGTTTTTTGTACAATTTAGTGGAGAGCAAGGGGAACAAGCAAACAGTTGAATTTTAGCAGGTTTTACTAACATTAAATAGTAATATAATTTGGTCCATGTAATATATTCCGAATTGTATTTGCTAAAAAGTTTAGTATTATTTGGTGAATAGTGTTTTTTAGCACACCAACCTTTTGCAAAACGTAAATGCCGGTAGGCCTATACAAACGGCGTATTAATTACATTCAAAATAAAAACTGTCGAACAAGCAAATTTGAAATCTGGGGGTTTAAAAATATGTGAAGAAAGGAGGGTGACTGAAGAATGATGTCATTAATGACTAATCTCTAAAGCCGATATGAGAAGGTATTATAAAATAATAAAATGACGTAGCTTGTACTCTTGAATTTCACTTACCAGGAACTGAGAACCAATTATAAATTAAAGATCTTTATATTTTGAATATGTTTTAGCCTGATGAATACAACAATAAAAAACCGTATTCTAACGCATTCTTCTAAATAGCTGTGGATCATCTGGTCAAGATTAAATGTCCACATGACAGACCGTTTAAATGTCTGCCAGACGGCATCTGTCATGGTTTTGATGAGTACTGTCATGCCGGACAAAACAAATCGTGTTTGGACGTGACGATGTCGGTGGATGAACTGAAGCAGTGGTGTCAGGTCAAGGGACAGAGTGACGTCACGGCAATGCCAGACCCAGCCTGCAAGTTTGCTTGTCAGGCGAAATTTCCATCGCTGCATCATGAAGGTAACTAAGCATGAAATTTTAATTTAACTTTTAAAACACTTTAGCATATTGCAAGTACTGTAAATGGAAGTGCACAGGAGAAAAGTTAAAAAGTTGAAAATTTGTATTTTTCAACATTTTTTTATTCATGTGAACGGTAAAAAATTACAAGAAAATTATTTTGTAAAGTAATTTTTTAAACAATTTCAAAGCACTCCTATTGTGATGTTTCTTTCCCCTTTTATCTCAAGTTACGGATCAACTACACGTCTACAGACAGATTTTCCACTTAGATTAGTCCAAATCGTCTTTATTATATTAGCGAATTTTCATTTTATACCAAATATAATTTTCGATTAAAAATTCAAATTTAAGTGCTCTCATAAAAGTACACTTTTTCAACCGAATTCATAGTAGTTTTTTTTACTACGGTTTTTTAGACGGTCGAAATTTAAAATTAAAACGATAATTCTCCATGCCAAAAATTTAAATAAACGAAATACAAATCCGAATGGAACACTAACTTTAGTAGTCGTCTGTGAATGACATCACGTTTTTTTTACTTTCTCGTATATACGAAGAATAGAGAAAGTCTTGTAATCGTGCAAAAAAATTCGAGATTTCAGAAAGATAAATGGCACATGTAAGTGAAACATCTAATTCTCTGCCTTCTATCAAATTTTGAGTAATTTCCGTTACGCGGAAAAGGTAATTCTAGCTATTTCCGATTTCTCAAAAAACGCGTGTAAATTTATAAAGTACAAATAATATTTTACACTATTATACACATTTTGTTTAGCGTTTACTTGGTGTGGAATACTTTTTTCTACGAGATTCTATTCTATTTTAAAAAGTTTAAGTAATTAAAAATGGATTTTAAATGTTTTCTATATCCCGAGTTGTCTAGCTGCATACCCGTGAACAGCCACGGTGAATCATTTTTAATGTACCAACTTGGGAACAGAACAAAATTAAACACAAACACAAAAGAAAACACAAACGCTTTACAAACTTAAAAGACAAAGACAATGCAAAAACAAACGAAAACTCAAACGGAACAAACAAACACAAACACAAAACACAAATACAACACAATCGCAATGCAAACACAAATGCAAACGCAAAAAAAAAACACAAACGAAAAAACAAACACAATACTCACACAATAAACACAACTTAAATGCAAACATAAACGCATAGTGCTCACAGTCTAACCCGTGGCGCCAAATCGCAACCTTTCCAAGCGCCGACGGACGCGCCTGATTCATCGAATGACTGTAACCCCCAGCTTGTTCTCAAACGGAAAGATAGAATAATAATTAGTAAACAGTACGTTCAGTGTATAAAATAAATGAAAGGCAGTATTTAAAATGTCCGTATTTTACCTACTATATTGCACTTTATCAATTCATGCATTTTTTTCCAGTACTTTAAATTTTAAAAATTTACAATAGAGTTTCATAACTAAAACCTTTGTGCACCTTATTAACGTGACGACGTGTGTATAATAGTGCGGAATATTTGATTAAAAATTATAATTAGTAAACAGTACTTTCAGTGAATAAAATGAATAAATGATAGCCTTTTATCAATCCATGCTAATTATAATATTCTAACAATAATGTCATGTTACACGTCTAAAGAATTTGCATTCACATTTTGCCAATTATATTATTCCAACAATAATTCCCTCTTAGAGATTTTGCATTTCACGTTTTTTATTAGCGTGAGTTGAATTTATTTTTTAATTACCCCCCTTGGCATAATTACAAAACAGTTTAATTAATTAGTTTTTTCGACCCTATTATTATTAAAACATACCAGTTTTTTTGGAAACTAAACGAAAATGATATTTGACATTGATCCTTTTAATATGTTTTAGCAATTCGCGTGTATTTAATATTTTCTTTACGTAAAGCAAAAGAGTAAAAACAGTGGCAACTATAATATAAATTTAAGTCGTTATATAAACAAACCCTACTCTATTTCTTACAATAAGACATTGTGATGCAAGTAAAAAGCACGACATGTGTTGTTTATTTTTATGGTTCCAAAATCTATAGCGATGACGGACTGATACATAACTTTTTCATTATAGCTTACAAACATTTTTAAGTATGAGATACAATCTAAAATTCTGTTTTTATTTGACTTTGAAGTTAAATTTGTTTTATTTTTTTTATTATTGAATCAGGTGGTGGAAATGCAGTTTGGCTTTATTTAAGCATAGGGTTAGTTGTTTTAATCACAGCAGCCATGGGCTACTTAGTGTGGATGAGTCGAGAAAAGATACATAGCAGATTTTGTAAGAAGAAAACAGCTGGAAATGCATTACCAGGTACCGTCTTAAGTTTCAGAAGCATAAGTGGCGTCACTAGTCATGTGTTCCAGGGTGTAGTAACTCAGAGTGCTAATCCGTCGTCCCCCCCCCCCCCCCCCCGCCCCACACACACACCCTATATACGCAGTTCATACCACTTTTTAAAAATATTTTTTTTTTGTTTCAGCGGACTCCCACTTCGAGGTTATGAATTTAAGTAGATAAAACAATGGTTCCCCCCACCCTCCTTCACACACACACACAAGACACACACACACAAGACACACGCACACAAGACACACACTTGTGACGCTACTAATAGGATTATCTTATGTTATGTTTTCATTTAATTTATGTTCGAAGTGTAACTGATAGTTTTACGGTTAACAAACTTCATATACTATTTTCTTTACGACATTTTAAATTCGAATTATTTTTATTTCAGGAGGACCAGAAGGCGAAAATAATGCAAATAATGCTAATTTGGAACAAGGTGAGAGAGAAGGCATGATACAAAAAACTGAAGGGGATATCGCGAAAGGTCAGAATCGGGCATTGAATAGTGCAGCAAGAAAAACTGAAGAGGTAGTAATTGATCTTGAGCCTATTGTTGAAGCGAATCCACTTTTAATTCGAGAAAAGCCCGATGAAGAAGCAGATGCAAATGCAAAACATGATCAGGAAGTCTAATTATAATATGTCATAGTATATCCAAATATGCCTACAAGAAAATATATTTTTGAGGGGATTTTTTTAAAAAATCAAGCGAATAATAATGCATGTAGGTCTAAATAATATGTTTTGTATGTTACAAAGTTTATTTTAATTTAGGCTGTCGCTTGACCTACTTTTAAAAAAAATGTTGTTATGGTAATGATTTCCATTTATTCAAGTTTTTATTTTTAACTTTCTGTCTGTCTTTCTGTCTGTCGACAAAGATCGAAACTGCCAAGCGAAATTTTGAGCACTTATAACTGACCGATTTGGCGCGTGACAATGCAATCGGACATCTAATTTGAATTAATTGGATGCCTAATTAATTTTTTTATGAATTAATTAAAATTTTCTAAATAAAGTAGGGGGACTTACTATTATACTATTATACTTGCCTGAGGCTTGACCTACTTTTTTTTTACCGTCGTCATGGTAATGATGGCTGCCGAAAACCGAGATTCCGTTTTTCTTAAACAACGTTTAATGGTTATTTCAGAAATATATCTTTTAAATCGTTATTTTTGCGTATTATTCAACGATGCCAGTCTAGTTTTAACGATGGTTGATTAGTGTTTGATGCAAACTTGCCACTTGTACATTTGTTTTTGTTTAATCGCTTGGAATATCGAGCAGAACGTAATAAAAATATGCTAACGTGAATTGCTTTATCTAATATTGTTCTAAACGTACTAAAAATATATTCTAAACTATAGAAAATTATAACTTGCTTTCTACAAAACTAATTTCATTAATGTTTTAACAATCATCCAGGGTAAAAACAAAACCTGTAAAAAATAACTTGATCGGGACAAGAGCCAATTAAGCCCGCCCATTTTGCCGGCTGTGTATTTAAATGAGAAGAAATCGAACAGATGACATATTTCTACTGAACGGTCAATTGCATCATAACAAAACAGGGGCGTAGCGACCCTTCTCGGCGCCCAGGGACAATCTTTTCGATTTGCACCCCCCCCCCCTCAATATTTCGATTTGCGTCCCCCCCTCAAACTTTTGATTGCACCCCCCCCCCCCTCAAGGTTTCGATTTGCACCCCCTCAACCTTTCAATTTATTCTTCCAACCCATTTTGGCGCCCCCTAAGGTCGGCGCCCGGGGACATATGTCCCCCCCCCCCCTCGCTACGCTACTGTAACAACACTCCTTAAAAACAAACCCACCGTATCAGCGGGTGACCAGAAAGATGCGCAAAGGAAAAGGCATTCTAAACTATAGAATTTTTTGTTTTCTTAAATCGAGTATTTATAGTCATTAACAAAGAGTGACTACATGCACATTATAAAATAATAAATCATATTTTCTCAAATATGACAAAATTAAATTGCATTAGTATAATGAGTTTGTATTTGCGGATTTTTCTGTTTGTGCAGTTTTCCGATTGCGCATTTTTCTGGAAACCGTATCAGTCAGAGCATCGTAGTATTTAAAAACAAACACTTTTTTTAATTTTTTAAATCATTTTCTAGGCTACCTATTAAATTTAATGATTAAAATTAGTATCAATTTGTAGGTAAATAAATTGTTTAAGTCATCATGAATAATAATGACGTTTAAAATCTTAAGCGGCGCCGTCAATTTACCATGCGTCATCTTTCTGTCTGTCGTGCATTTGTCTGCCTTTTGTCTGTCGTCATTGATCAAACCAACCAACCACTTTCCTTGAAACTTGGCACGTGGGTAAAGACTCGATGACAATGCAATCTCACATCAAATTTAATTTAATTAGAAGCTGTATTAATTTATTAAGAATTAATTAAAATGTCCTATGTAAAATACTATTTACCGCGCACATTTTTCATGTTCATTCGGTGCGCAATTAATTTTAGTCATGAAGTTTTATTGTGTTCAAAAGTTATAAGAATTGAGATATTTTTTATATAATTATGCACAAATTAGTAGAAAATAAATGATTGTCTATAATTGTATAATAATGCACTAATATATGAATTTTGCTTTATTAGCTCCATGTGTCTTGGGCACGAATGGGAAAAGTTTGTGATCATTTAAATAACTGTAAAGAAAAGCGCGGGTCAATATATTATTCAGTTTCATTAAAACTTAAGAAGCAACATACGCTTCTCTTTATATTTATTTAAATAGTGAATTATAATATATATTTATAGAAAATCATTTATTTTAACTTTTTAGCGCAACATTATATTAAAACGTTTTTTTTTTAATTTTAAAATGTATTATCTTCTTTCCTAAATGCAATTTTATCTATACCATTTTACATGAAATACTCATTTGTTTGTAGCTATAGTAAGAACACTATTTTTTTTTAAACATACGTATGTTTTAATTTTTTTAAAAATATACCTGCACTTTTTGATATTATGTTGTACAATGTGATAATCAGCCCGTCCAGTAGACGCTTTCCGATAACCACCATGTCTTTTTCAATTTCAACATGTATTCTAAGCAATTTTTCAATAGAATTAGATTTATCAGGTTAGGCTGTTGACGGTTTGAAATCTTAAATATACTAGAATATAGTTTTGGCGAAGGTTTATCACCTAAATAAAAGAGACTTCTGATGAGTAAAGCACATAGGCCTAGACTGTCTGATACACAACACAGCCCTTGGTGTAAATGTTTTGTAATAAATCGGGAGTTCCCGAAACGAGACTTGTGTGTTGCGGGGTGGGGCTTGCAGCTGCAGACGTGTCAAGGTGGTGTGTGAACTGTTTGCTACGCGTGTGTAGTTTTCATTTGCCCGCGGCATGGACCTTTCTTCCAATTGTTGTGACTTCGAATCGTCTGTTATTGGGGTGTGTGCAGTCTGAGGCCCCCATCACTTGGTTAAAACATGTCGACAGCATCTTTACCTAGATACACATCTATTAATTAGATACTGCGTCTGTTCTTTGCTGCGTGGTCTAAAAAAAAGTAGACGTGAGTTGTTTTTAAAGGCTTTCATTTAGTTCGATCAGTATATGTGTGAGTTTGAGTTGAAAATTTTGGAATCTTAATTTAACCCACTCCCCTGTGTCTGATTTAACTGGCACAGTTGTAGATCTTTGATAACAATGTTGCATGCAATAACGCAATGAAACAATGACTGGGCGCTCAATTATGGAAAAAATATTACCCTGATAGGTGTGTGTTCTATAACATAATATAAGACCTATGTTACATTTCCACCATTGAGCGCCTAGGCTTTTAATGTTAGTCATCCGTAACCTTCTATATTATAACACCAGTATATTTATGTTATAGCCTATACGTGGTGGTGTATTCAGATATGTAACCTATTGTTTGTTTACATTTGTTTTACGGCTATATGCTAAACCTTTTATGAATTTGCTGTTTATGGAGTTGCTGTATGTAAATTTGTCATCGGACTTCTCATAGGACTGATTTTAGTACTAGTACTTGTACTAGCACTTTGCATGCAATAAATCAGGATCGGACAGCAATAAGCGTCGTTGATTGTGTAATCTCTCAGGGCCAGCCCTTAAAAACACTACACCTCATCGCCACTAAGGCCGTGTTTCAGTTGTCTATACGATCACAGACAGGCATTGAGCCATATGGCTGTTAAGGCCAGCGTAAGCACCAGAGTTGTAGTAAGGGTTAGACTAGAGTTAGGATGAAAGTGGCGATACTTGCTCAAAAAGTAACTTAAATACATACCTGTCGATACTCATTTAATTACTTTTTTGATGGGTTTTTTTTAAATGCTTAAGTAGTATATATACATTTGCGAAAGCAAAACCAGTATGTTTTTTTTTCTTGCACACCACACTATTGTTTCCCAAAGTGAGTTCCGTTTAACCCTGTGGTCTCACTAAATAATTGCTGGTGGCCGCAAAGTTCAACCAAATTCTGAGAAAATATTTAAGATTTAAAACAAAAAACTACTACATCCCTTGCATTGAACTAACTTGAGTTTTTTTTTTTTTTTAATTAAAAAATATCAATGTGCAAGTTATGACAAAATGTTTTATAGTTTCAACGTTGTATACGAAAAAAATAAAATGACTTATCACGATTTGTGTTGTATTTAATATCTATGTTAGTATTATCGAAACTGTAGTTAGCATCTGTGTTTTTGTTAAAGATCACTGACTTGATAGTGGAGAGGCTATTTACACGATAATTTTTCAGATTTAAATACGTACAACACTCTCTACAATATTGCCACTAATCGAATTTATAACAGCAAGGGTTACATGATCCGTTAAAATATTTCTTGAGGGCTCCACTAAAACAAAACTTTGGGAAACCGTGCATCGACAGCTTTTCCTATCCATCCAACCTTTCTATTCCCATGGTATTCATGTAACTATGCATTCATTTAAAAATAGTCTAGATAATCTGCAATAGATTTTTTTTAAATAATACCTACACGTTTACAATTCACGCTTACTCTTCTATAAACGAAGACGAAAAGAAATATATTATAATTAAAGATAAACACACACGCATTATTAAATCTATCACATATCAAGAACCCCCCAAGAAGGGAATGCGAAAAATAGACGATCAAGTTATAGATTAATTAATGTATAAGATCCGGTAGTGATAGCTGTTATTACTTCGATTGCTAACTCCACAAGTAATTACAGACCTTCAACGCAAACAGCTAATACAACAACAACCATTAATAGCCATGTAACCAATGCTACACAAACTAAGAACTCATTAAAGTCAACAATAAAAACAAAACTCAACCTAGCAGCTACTGATAAGAAATGCACACACATAAAATCATCGGAAATCGAGCTTATACAGACAAAACTTGAAACATCTTCACCAAAACTTCTGTTTTAACACTTAAAACTATGATAATATTTTCAAACTCCCAACAGATGGAGTAGAATCCACACTAGGAATGATCTATCATACAAAACAAATAGTTTGAGGAACAATTGGGAAGTCGGATGTGCTAAAAATGGTGAACATCTTCGTTTAAATAGTCGGACAAAAAATGACTCTCTAAAAACTACCACGAGATATTGCAAGCAACAGGCCCGAAAGAATAAATTTCACATACGATATCACAGTGTTGTAAAGCCTCATGCCTACTCCTTCCCGAGAAAATACTTGTGGAAATATAAATGGAATCATTCATCAAAGTATGTCAAGAAAAAAATTAAGAAAACAAAAAAGAAAGCTATGAATGTTAATATGAAAAAATTGACAAAAGCAAACGAATTGGATATCAATTATATCGGGTACGCCAGAGAATAGAAACAAACTAGATCGAAATCTGTGACGGATATGGATGGTACTTTACCAGTGCTGGCTGTGCAGAATTTGATTGAGCGTGCTCTAAGTACCGAAACAACGAAAATAAAATCTAAAAAACAAAAACCAAGTGGGATTGGCAAGAGGGTAGTGTGAGTTGCTTTGCATTGTCTTACTTACATATCTAAAGCTTAAGAATTATATATATATATATATATATATATATATATATATATATATATATATATATATGTGTGTGTGTGTGTGTGTATGTATTTTTTTTATGTTTGCTTAGTTATGAATTTCTCATCGACAAGACCAAGTTAATTGAGTTGTATTTATACATTTCAGACATTTCAATCTAAATTACAACCCAAACATTATCCACCATTGTAGCGAGTTGAATGTCGAGAATGTGAAATACCTGGCTTTAGACAGCAATCAGAACATCTTCATTGGGCATGTCTAGAAGCGGATTCAATTGTGTTTTAAATTGATTTTTACTTAATGAAAAACATGTCTGCTTCTATGCAATACTTTGTAATAATCAACAACGGGGTTAAATTGTTTCAAAATAAAAATAAAAAAATTTAAAATTCAGTTCGAATTTTATATTTCGGGCAAGTGTATCATTTGTACTCCTCTGTTTTTATTAATACAAATCCTCATCATATGTAATGCCTTAAATCTAATAAAAATATGTGTAAATATAACGTGTAGATGTGTCTGTTAAAAATTATAATATACGTATGTTTATGTCTGTAAACGAGTTTATTTGTGGTATTTAAAATATATAGTGTTTACTATTATGTAACACCTGTGAATGTTACACCCGCTAATATACCGAGTTCCTGTTGGAAAGGTAAAACTGCACAGCTATATCTAAAAACGTTAGTTCTAAGAGTGCAAGCTTAGTTGGTTTTTTTTGTTCATTTTATATATATATATATATATATATATATATATATATATATATATATATATATATATATATATATACATATATATATATATATATATATTGAAATAGATATGTGATTAAAAATATAGTCACATGACTAAGTTAGTACATTTTATGTATAACGAAATTAATATATTATTTTTAAAATATGGTTAGAAAACTAAGTTGCTGCATGTAAATGTGTATTTAATGGAATAATAACTCTGTTCTAACGCAATGCGCTTATTAGAAAGATAACTCTATTAACGCCATGAGTTTAATAGAAAGATAACTCTATTAACGCAATGAGTTTATTGTAAAGATAACTCTGTATCACTAATTGTAAAGCTAAAAGATTAGGTCATAAAGAATTTGTTTTCCAGCCCGTTTAAAACGGAATCGGAAATTCCCTGTGTGGTTAATTGTAACATTTAGGGATTATCTTGTATGTACTTGGCGAGAGCTTTAATATGAGACTAAATACTAAATTATAAATGATTAGGTATTTTGGAGTAGTCTATATATTATTATGCACATATTTTGTGCATACGTATTATATAGATTTAGTGAGACAGCGTCAGAATTTAAACACAAAGGTTATACAACTATTGGAAAAGTATTTTTAGTTCTTTCTCGGAACTGGGTTTATCCGAAAATATATGTACACCTGTACAGATATTAGTATGGTGTAATTTTATTTCTTATGTGAAAATGTTTTTAAAACAGAAGCTCCAGTAGTCTATCAACATCGGAAATCAGAATGGATTGTATTAGAAATTGTTTTTGGATTCTTTTAAGTATGATCACTTTAATCGACGCAGGTAAGGAAATTAGCTGCTTCAGATTTTGACAAAACATGTATTTCCCAGAAAGAGAAAAAAAGAAAAAAAACATTTAAAATAACAAATTTGGAAAATTTGTAGCAAACGTTCATACAATTGTGTGAATACAATTTTTAAAATATTTGTTGTGCTATTGCAGCTACCATAACCCTGACTTTGACCAAAATCATGACACGAATTGCCGTCTCAGACAGTAAAAAAAAAAACAATTTCTTTATTCTAGAGGTGGCTTCCGCCATTTTGGAGTTCATCACCTTGTCCCATGAGTCAGCAAGTTAACGTCGGTTAGTTATGACTCTGTTATGTATGTCGTCATGCTTTTGTTTGTTTTTCTGCAAATTTTTAAATTTTCAAAATCTCCACCTAATCCCTCCCCCATTCCCCCCCCCCCCCCCCCCCACACACACACACTTCCATCGATACACGATGTCACAAAAATTTACCTTACACATTACGTCACACTTCCGTGTCTTAGTCCACCTCCTCTTCCCCTCCCTTTTTTTTATTATTTTATGAATTGTCTCCCTTACGTAAGCGGCTAAAATCCATTTATGTTGTTTTGCTGAAAATATTAATTCAGTCTTTTCCCTTTAAAATGAAATAAAGTAGTACTGTTTACTATTTGCTACCTGTAAATAATGTAAATCAGGCCTAACATTTATTGATACATTTTCTTAACAATTTACATAAAAAATATATTTTAAAGTAGTGTGAAATTTTTTTTTTTTTTTAAGTTTAAAAGTATGACATGTAACTATAGTAACTAAGTCTTTAATATTCAATGGCTATTTCATTCAATTCTTTGTATTTGTTTTTAAATTGCGAACAACGTGAAAATATGCCTCCGTGCTTACCATTTTAACTGGCATAACAGTTTAATATTATGTTCTTAACCGGTCACTACTGTCTTAAGGAGGGGGCATAATAGTTCTGAGTATCAGACTCAAAATCACAGAGTTGTCATCAAGAATGACTACGTAATCGAATAGTGTAGTCGAAAGTAAGTAGTCGAACCTACCCAGGTACAACTCTACTAGCTTAAATGTAAGGCGACTGTATAGCAATGACTGAAGGAAGGAAGGAAGGAAGGACTGACACACTACCAACCGGCTTACATTATAGATATGGAACTTACGTCTCAATCCATTGCTAGTCCGATGTGAAAGAAAAAGAACATTTTTTCCGCCTTAAAGTATTAGGACTGAACTGGTAGTTTACATTTTATTACTGTATCGAGGGACAGAGTGGTTCTTTCTTCTTCTTCTTCTTCTTTCTTAATTTTTAGTTTAGGGATTCCCTCTAACACAATAAAGTATAATGTGTCAACTGGTTATGCGCTATTTAGCCTTTACTCAGATTTCAGCCTGCTTTTCTTTTAGGATTTGCTTCCATAGCCTTTGTCCAACCAAGAACAAACTACAAGGCAGCAGTTGTTTGATTATGGGGTTGTCTTTCATAGAAGAGTTGCTGTCCCCAGGGAACGAACTTCATCTTACCGGGAGTTCGAACTCGGGACTTTGCGGTTTAGCAGCCATGAGCTTAACCAACCCGACTGCTAACCCAAAAGTCTCGAGTTCGGATCACGGGCTTGACATTTTAGAACGTTCTTGAGACCTCCCAGCTCTGATGTGTACCTAACTCACGTTAGGGAAAGTAAAGGTTGCTGGTTATAGTGCTGACCACACTATCATTTTATATTATGACGTCACTGAAACAGATGAAGTTTACTTAACCTGCTCCAAAAATAGTAAAGTATCGACAGGATAACTTAAAGAGATGCGACATTGTATTAAACTTTTTAAAATTTTAATTTCAGCTCCCCCAACTTTGGAAGAACTAACAGCGCTAAAGTGTAACTCAGACAAACCATTCAAGTGTCTGCCATATGGAGTCTGCTACAACGCAGACCAGTTCTGTGTTGCTGGAGATGTCGAGTCGTGTTTCCCTAAAAACATCACCACCGACCAGCTGGAGAACTGGTGCAAGACCACTGGTCAGTTCAGACCCGAGTTGATGAGAGACCCCAAGCTCTGTGCTCTCGCTTGCCAGGCACGGTTCCCCTCACTCAATCTCTCCAACGGTCAGTTGCTGGTTTTTATGTGTCTATTAAAGTGGGAAGTTTAAAGTCGAATTTACATGGTTTTATATGGTTTCCCTTACTCAATCTCTCCAACGGTCAGTTGCTGGTTTTTATGTGTCTATTAAAGTGGGAAGATTTAAGTCGATTTTACATGGATATGGTTTCCCTTACTCAATCTCTACAACGGTCAGTTGCTGGTTTTTATGTGTCTATTTATATGGTTTTATATGGTTTCATTCACTCAATCTCGCCAACGGTCAGTTGCTGGTTTTTATGAGTCTCTATTAAAGTGAGAATTTTAAAGTCGATTTTATTTATTTCCATTCATACTAATTTTAATAATGTGAATATATTCGATTTTGGATACATTTTAGAAAATAATTTGTAACAAGTAAAATTGAAAATAAATGAGTGTTTGTGTTTTTTAAATGTATTTTTGTACAATCTAGTGGAGAGCAGGGAAACAAGTAAATATGACATTTGTGAAAAAGTGTGATACGGTGGATAGGAGTTAAAAAAGTGCCAATTCAGTCTTTGCAGATTAAAAACATTTTTTTATGAATTTTAGCAGGTTTTACTAACATTAAATTGTAATAAAATATGGTCAGTGTATTATATTCCGACTTGTAATTGCTAAAATGTTTAGTATTATTTGGTGAATAGTGTTTTTTAGCACAACAACTGCTTGCAAAAAGTAAATATTACTGGTACGCCTATACAAACGACGAATTAATTGCATTCAAAATAAAAACTGTCAAAAACAAGAACATTTGAAATCGAGGTGGTGGGGGATTCTGAGATGTGGTGTTCACATTGATAAATTGGGGGGGGGGGGATGTTTTTTAAATATGTGACGAAAGGAGGGTGACTGAAGAATTATGTCATTAATAACTAATCGCTAAAGCCGAAACGTTAAATCACAATATGACAAGCTATTATAAAATTGCGTAGCTTGTACTCTTGAATTTTACTTACCAGGAACTGATAACAATTTATATAGCTTTATTTTCTGAATATGTTAGGCTGAAGAATACAATAATACAAATACCGGATTATAACTGGGTTTTTTTTTCTAAATAGCTGTGGATCAACTGGTCAACTTAAAATGTCCACGTGACAGACCGTTAAAATGTCTGCCAGACGGCATCTGTCATGGTTTTGACGAGTACTGTCATGCTGGACAAAACAAATCGTGTTTGGACGTGACGATGTCGGTGGATGAACTGAAGCAGTGGTGTCAAGACGAGGGACAGAGTGACGTCACATTAATGCCGGACCCAGCCTGCAAGTTTGCTTGTCAGGCGAAATTTCCATCGCTGCATCATGAAGGTAACTAAGCAAGATATGTTTATTTAACTTTTAAAACACTTTAGCACATTACAAGTACTGTAAATGGGAGGTACGCATGAGAAAAGCTAAAATGTGAAAATTTGCTTTTTTCAACATTTTTTTACTTTCTCGTATATACGAAGTATAGAGAAAGTCTTGTAATCGTGCAAAAAAATTATTGAGATTTTTAAAAATCCTAAAGTTTTACACCTTCGTGAGTCGGAAAAACATATTTTTGCAATCTTGTCCGTATCTCTGTGTGTATGTGTGTGCATTTGTGTGTTTGTGTGTGTGTGTCCGTAAACATGATAAATTGAGTACTAGGTCTATGAAATTTCATATATAAGTATTTTATCAAAATCGTAGATCCGTATCAACTTTTGATCGCTTTTCGATAACCGGAAATGGTACTTTTTCTACTTTGATTTTTCAAAAGCCTATAACTTGAGTACTATTTCAGATAGGTAAATGAAATTTTTTTTGTAAGTAACATATCTAAATCTCTACCATCTATTAAATTTTTAGTAATTTCGGTTGACCGGAAGTAGTAATTTACGCTATTTCCGATTTCTCAAAAAACGCATGTTAATTTATAAGATACTAATAATATTCCGCACTATAATGCACATTTTGTTTTGACGTTCGCTTGGTGCGCAATTCTTTTTTCTACGAGACTCTATTCTATTTTTAAAAGTTTAAGTAATTAAAAGTCATGTCTATATTCCGAGTTGCCATCCCACGTAGTGTTATATAAGAATATTCGAGAAAGTTTAGGGGAGATCACTCCCGGTTTATTTATTCGTTCAAAAGGGAAAAACATAACATGAAAATTATTTTCTTCAATATTTTTAAAACAATTTTAAAGCAATGTCTCTATAATAATTTTACGTGTTTACATCATTGATAATAGAATTCGAATTGCCTTAAAATAGTGTATTTGATACCGTTAGAAAGCTTCAACTCTTAGAATTTTTTTTAATGTAAATGTAATAAATGTATATGGTTTTTTGTACACATATGTTGTATATATTTAACTATTTGGTCTCCTACATAACTAATATCTCCAATTGTGATGTTTCTTTTTTTTTCTCACGTTACGGATAAACCACACGACTACATAAAGATTTTCTACTTAGATTTAGTTCGAATCTTCATTTTTTTTAATTTTAGCACTTTTGCATTGCTATCAAATATAATTTTTCGATTAAAAATTCAAATTCAGGTGCTCTCCTAAAACGATACGTTTTTTTTCCCGAATGCATTGTAGTTTTACTACAAGTAATGGCTATATATGAATATTTAAATAAAAAGACGGCTTAATTATAACATAAACAGCAAAAATTTAAGTAAACGAAATATAAATCCGAATGGAACATCATATTTTTTTTAGATCTTTAGCCTTATCTAATTGTATTTATTAATCTTCTGTAAGAGGATATAACCAAGCTAGGTTGATTTTGCTGTACATTATAATTAAGCAATGTCCCTTGACTTAGAAAATCGCAAAGTTAATAGAACTGCTTGTTAGACTTACCTGACATTATCGCTAATTACTAGATTTATTTACAAATAAAAAAAACAGTGTAAATTATGGATTTACAATCACTTTTCATTATACCTTAAAAACATTTTTAAACATGAGATACATTCTAAAACTGTGTTTCCAAAAGAATTGTTTTTTTTTAATGTAAAATATGACGTCACACTTTCTTAATACCAGTCGTTTGATCACACTTTCTCTAAAGTGTTATGTCATATATGCACTTACCCAACACAAAATGTACCAGTTCCTTCCAGCAGGAAAAAAATATTCCCAAACAAAAATAAAATTATAAATTCTTGTATTGTTTCCTAACACCAGCTTTGGAGAAACTAGCAAATAAAACGTGCCCACTGGAGAGACCGTTAAAATGTCTGCCTGACGGCATCTGTCACGGTCTGGATGAGTACTGCCATCACGGTGTGGTTACGTCGTGCTTCAACGAGACAATGATGGAGAAAGAACAGTTGCAGTGGTGTATCGATAAGGTAGTGATTAACGTCACTTCTATGCCAGACAAAGCCTGCCAGTTCGCCTGTCCATCTAAATATCCAAACTTATTTCGTGCAGGTAAATTAATTTTTTAAGATATTTTTTAAAACTTGCATTATATGTTGATAATGTAAACTTTAGTTTAGTATCTATAACACTATATCTATATCTGTAACAATAAAGGCGGATGGGCATAGTACTGGCCACACTATCCCTTCATATGCAGCGGTTGTAGAAACAGGTGAACTCTCTATTTTCCATTTTCGGTTTGGTGTCACCTCTTCCCCTGCCATTAATTAACTGGATTAGTTGTTTAAAACAGTAAATTTCACGATTTATTTATTTGGTGTCACTCTCTCTAATGGTATATTCCATTGCGGACAGCATCCCGCCCCGTCTTGTGAAGCCACTAAAAGTCACACATGCGCTTTAAAGAAGTGACTTAAAATTGTTAAATGTTCATGGTTCACATAATTCATTACTCAACGACGTAAATTTAATTACTGCAGTTACTTTGTTGACTAATTAATGCTGTAAGCAACATATTTCAACAGCTTTAGATCAGTTGGCTAATAAAAGATGCCCACAAGAAAGACCATGTAAATGTCTGCTCGATGGCGTCTGCCATGGTTATGACGAGTTCTGCGATGCCGGACGAAAGAAATCGTGTTTTGACGAGAGTATGTCGGAGAATGAAATCCTGCAGTGGTGTCGAGACATAAAACCGAATGACGTCAGTGTGTTTCCGCAATTGTCCTGCACACTAGCCTGTCATGCTAGATTCCATTCTCTCTCTAGTAAAGGTATCTGTTTACTGAATTGATTTATTTGCTATTTCTTTAAATAAAAAACTAAAAAAAATGTCATTTAAATTATTATTTCGTTGTTGTTAGTTTACCTTTTAAAATTTCGATGACATGAAATTTGTTTTACTTTTGTCTATTTAATCAGGTGGTGAAAACGGAATCTGGAGTTATCTGTTTACTGGTTTAGCTGTTTTAGTAATGGCAGCAGCGGGCGTTTTAGTTTGGAAAAAACGAGATCAGATACGTTCTATATGTTCTAGATTTTGGTGTAAACAAGAAACAGAAAATCCAACACCAGGTAGCTGTCTTAAATTTTTTAAAGAATCAGAGGTGTCACATGTTAGGTGTCACATGTTAGGTGTCACATCAGAGGCGTAGCGACGGTGTGGGGAGGGGGTGGGGTATATATGTCCCCAGTCGCCGGCTCTAGGGGCGCCAAAATGGGTTAGAAAAAAAATTAAAAACTCATTTTAGTTACAGCTTTGAATTAGAAATATTTAAAAAATACATGGGGGGGGGGGCGTCAAATTGAAAGTTTGTCCCCGGGCGCCGGGAGGGGTCGCTACGCTTCAGTGTCATATGTTAAATGTCACATGATGCAGAAACTCAACGTGGTGTTACCCACCCCCTTCCCCATCCCCACCCCATTTTTATTATGGAAATAATTGAAAATTATTAATTTTTGATAGTGTTATTACTTTAAATTATTCATTGTTGATAGTATTAATACTTATAATTTTTTTACTTAAAAGTTGCACATAGTTAATACTATCTCTTTATGTTTTCATTAAGGACATTAATTGTAAGCTCGAATTTTTAAAATTGCAGAAAGCAGAGGAGGTGGAATAGAGGAGAATAATGACAACAAGCGAAATAGCAATGGCGAGGGGAGAAGCAGGACACCAAACACTGGAGGTGATATCGGGAGAGTTAAAGCACAAGCATTGATCACTGTCTCGAGAGATAATGCAATACAGTCAGATGAAGCTAACTCTTCCGCTAAAGATCCATTACTTTCAGGCGACTTGAGAGAGAGTGTTCCTAAGCGTGAAATACAAGAAGAGGAACCAGTCGAATTAAAATAATTGCATTGATGACATCCAAGTAGGAATACAAGGGGGTTAAAAATGGAATGAATATTAATACATGTTTACATGTGTAGACTCATCAGTTTAAAAAATGTTATTTCTATGTTTATAATTTTTTAACTGGCGGGTAGTTTTTGAGGAGGATTTTTTCATTCTTTAAATACAATAACTAGTGTGCCTGGTCAATAAAAGATTGGTGACACAACTGCTGTGACAACTGACACCTGTAAGGTGACACCCATTGCGGTATTCATGTCACTCCCACCCCAACTTGTCGTGATATTCAATATGTACTTAAATAGTTTTTAACCCTAATTAACCATTAATTAAACTGACAAAAAGTGTTAATTCTATATATTTTGCAATTTTTTTTTCTTAGTGTCACCCCTTAAATGGTGCCACCCGGTGCGGTCCGCACCCCTCCCCCCTCCCCCGCCTCGCGACGACTCTGGTGATACCTTGATTTGGGCTAGTCTACATTCACAAAGATGAAACCAATGTAATGATATTTGGGAGCGCTACATTCCCTTCATTATCTGCACAACTAATGAAATGTAGCACAATTTTTTTACATAGTTATATATCACTAGTAAGTTAACATCCATTTTGAAGTTTTGATAGCTAATCATCTAAAGACAAATTTAGTTCACGTTGCAATGTCTTCTGGTCATGACCTACATGGCAAGTTAGAAAAAAAGGCGGTTCGGCACTTTATTCGGCAGTAGTTGAAATTTTCACTCGCGAGTTTCGACCCCAAGAGAAGATAAACATGAGGAATCAAGTCAAATAAGATTTTGTAAAGATTTTAGGAGTGTTTTAAAGTATTCTTCTATAACATCCCGAACCATTACATTTCCACATAATAAAATGATAAACACCCTTTACCCTTTGTGTTATTTTTTTAACTCTTTAACTTTAGTTGTGAAATATATGACCCTTGTGGGTCTGATGAAGTGTTGTTGTGGTGATGGGAAAGTTGTGTTTCTTTCAGGCACCTCCTCGAAGCAAGGCTACCCCAACCCTAACCCCCACTCCCGGACAAAATAAATATATATAAACTATTTACTTTAACCAGTGCCCACCCTCCCCCCCCCCCCCCCCACCGAAAAACTTAGTAACTTCCCGAAAATTTAAAATGTACCCCCCCCCCCCCGAATAAAAAGTCAGAAAGAAACACTGGTTTTAGCAGAGTAATGTAGGCAGTGTCGTGTCCTGGTTTTTTTAATGTGTATTTTGTTGTACGGAGTGAACGAGGGTAACAAGGGAAGCGACTGGACGAGTGACAGCGAGTGTGTTGTGAGCAAAAGCAAGGAGGTGTGCAGCAGAGGATGTGGGCGGAGGTTGCGATTAGAACGAGCAGAGTTTCTTTCATGTATCTCTTCGGGGGGGGGGCAAAGTCCCCCCGAAAAAATTCTCCCCCCCCCCCCCCCCCCCGAACGAAATGAAATTTATATAATTTATATAGAAAATATATACTTTTAACAGTGTCCGCCCCCAATCCGAAGAAAGTCTACCGCCTCCCCCCCCCCCCCCCCCCCCGGAGAAAAAAGTCTGGAAGAAACACTGAGTACGAGCAGGAAGTATGTTTTTTAACGTTGTGACCGAGAACTCAGAAAGAGTTTATATAAAACCCACTTGAAGCAACCTAACATCATCGACTTGTGTTGGTAAGAAGTACACACGGCTTAGGTTTAGTGCTACGTAATAAATCGGGAGTTCCCGAAGAAGTACACACTTGGTCCTACTTGTAGATAGAAAACAAATTATTGCAGACGTTTATCGTAGAGGTCAAGGTCTCATTTTCTTGGCTAGGGATATCTATTGCGTAGTGGTGTTCCCTTTTTCTTTAAATCTCTGTTACACTAGGCTCGTTAGAGTGGTGTGCATGCTAGATACAAGTCAGAGACTACACCAGGTTTTATGTGGTGGGTAGGCTACAGACAAATCAAAGGCTACCATATGTGTTGTTATTTTGGTGTGAGTAATTGTGTTTCATAAGATCTCTTACATATTTTAACGACCAATGCTTTTATTAAAGGAGGCAAGTGCTTCTTATATATTTTTACAAGCTTTTATTTGGTTTGCATCGTCTGTTTGTTTGTTTGTTTTTTGTGGGTTTGTGGCAAATCTTGTAACTCCATGTTGACCACTTCCAATGCAGCGATTTCATTCAAACTTTCCAGATACGTTCCGCTTCGATGACAGTACAAGTCTATATAAAAAAATTATTTAATAGTATGTTTAGTTAGTCATTAAAAATTAAGTAAACGGTTTCGAAAATAAGGGGAGATCACAATATTAAATCACTGATTACTATATTCAAGAACAGAAGGGGAGAATACTAGTTAGACGCGACCACCATAACATTCTGGTGAGCTGTGGTTCAGAAGAATGTTTACAATCGTAGCGATGGTCGATCTAGTGGACGCTATTAGGGGCAGATAAATTTTATACGGTTTGAAACAAAGAAAAGGTAATAAGATCTACTTGATCTGGTGGTCCCCTGTCGTATGTAAACTATCGTCACGGATGGCTGCTTTTGCGGGGTAGAGGGGATAATAATGCAAATAATAATCATTAAAAAAGTTTTAAAAAAACCCACGTTTTCTGATTGAACTAAAAAGTAGAAAATAAATGCTATACATGACAATAATGCAAGCGATCACTCTACTATAAGCGATGAAAAACGTGGGGCGCCGAAGTAAAAGTTATATTACTATTGATTAGATAATACTATTGACTTTTATTAGGGAGCTTGTAGAGAGTCAACAGTATTAGAAACTGTAAGAAAATCACGGCGCCCCACGTTTTTGATCGCTTATAGTAGAGTGATCGCTTGCATTATTGTCATGTATAGCATTTATTTTCTACTTTTTAGTTCAATCAGAAAACGTGGGTTTTTTTTAACTTTTTTAATGATTATTATTTTCTACTTTTTAGTCTTTGTCTGTTTGTTTGCATTAAAATCTCATAAAAGTTGTATAGCATTAAAGTCTCGTAAAAAGACAACTCGTAAAAAACATGTTGTGTGAATACGTTACTGACTAGAACACATAGATTTGAGCCCGTGTCGAGTGGGATAGCAATCGTGTGCCCAACCACTCGACCATATCGTCTCCCCCATACTGGCCACCAGTTGTTACGGTTGTTTGAACACAAACACCGCGTGAACACTACACAGTAAGCAAAGAGGGAGAGTACCGAACCTTGTTTTCATCAAATTACAGTTACTGGATTATGTCCCTTTTTCCCCGCGTTTTTTGTACAATTATATAGCTGTCTAAAATGATCAATAAAATGTTTCCATGGATCAATTTAGTAATAATAACAATTGAATATTCTATTGTCATCCAAAACAAAGCATCCCTAAAAATTTCAGCGCGCTAGCTAACTGGGAAGTGCCAGAAATTTCTATCGCAAGATTTGATTGGAAAGACAAACAGAGACGAAAGCAAGTTAAAGAAAACGTGGGGAAAAAAATGTTTTGTTGCAGCATTGGTACATTATACGAAAAAGTAGAAACAAATATAAAAAAAACCTTTCTTATAGCAAGCTTTTAAATGCACTGAAAATAAAATAAAATGAATTTGTTTTCTTTCATAAAAACTGGTTGCTAAAATATGTAAAAGATCTCATGAGTAACCAAAGCTTTTATGAAGGAAAGCAAATTCGTTTGTTTTATTTCTTTTCAGTGCATTTGAAAGTTAACTAATAGACAGTTTTTTATGGGTTTTTTCAGTTCATTTCAAAGGTTTTTATTATATAGATTATTTTGTGATACTTATTAAATGCATTTTCTGTCAGGGTCTTTTATTTTGTACGAACACAGCATAACCTTGACTTCATTATTAAGAAATAAAACCGGGAATTCAAAGGGGGAATCCCCTTACTATAAATTTTGAGTCAAGTGTTTGTGTGCTAGGATAAGGCATGTGTTACGCGAGAGATGTGGGTTGTTTTCATTGGCTGGCTTTAGATTTATTGCTAGCTTCAGGGTTTTACTGCTACACGGTCAGGTCAAACCATCTCGAATGCGATACGAAGTTTAGACGATTTTATTGGATTAGCAAAGATGTGTGTGTGTTATTCTTCGCTGCGTGGTCTTGAAGGCATAGTAAGAAAATGTAAGTTTTATTTAATTAAATCTACAATACATTTATTATGTACCGTTAATTCAAGGCTTTAAAAATTACAAGAAGGCTAGTTTGTAAATATGTAACTCCCCCCCCCCCCCCCCCCACATTGGGGTTTTTATGTTAACTAGTTAGGCAAGTGTCAGCACTTGGTGTCGGGACTATTTTTTAGGGTATGGCTAAAAATTTGATTAGGGTTAGGGTAACGACACTAGAAATTCTAAAGTATAAAGATGAAATGGACTGTATCTCCGTGGGTGGTGGACACGCGGACAGAGGTGTGATTGACTCGCAAGTAGTAAAAACAACAACCTCTAGCTGATCGCCGCTGTGCTTGTTTTTTTTTAAAGATTTTTCAATTTTTGTACATAAATTTAAATTGATGTATAGAAAATTCAATATCAATTATTTCTTTTAAAAAGTACCTTTCTTCAACTAAATATTTTAATGTTTAAATAGTGCATATATCAAAATTAGCCAAAACTAATCATTTTTCACAGAATTTATAATTATATCTTTTAGAAATTATACAAATTACTTCCCTTTATTTAAATAGATACAAAATTATACATCAGAAAGCAAATGTTTTTCATCTTAGTTAATTGACTTAGTTATCGTTCAAGTAATAAAAAAAAATTGACGTTGCATGCATTAAGAAAGTGCAGTACAGACCCCCTGCATCGATCCTGCGACGCCCCTCGGAATTTTAAACATTTGTTTTCTCAGAAACATTCCCAAAGTTTTATGGCGGTCGGATTAATAGTTTAGTAATGCATACAGGATATACATCCACATACTAGCTTTTTAAATTTATAGATAGATAATTTAAAATTCCATTTTTATACATTCACTTTCCCTATTTAACTTCAGGTCATACAGAATGAAAGAAATAAAGTGAAGAAATAAAGTGAAGAATTAAAGTGAAGAAATAAAGTGAAGAAATAAAGTGAAGAAATAAAGTGAAGAAATAAAGTGAAGAAATATAGTGAAGAAATAAAGAGGAGAAATAAAGTGAAGAAATAAAGTGAAGAAATAAAGTGAAGAAATAACATGAAGAAATAACGTGAAGAAATAAAGTGAAGAAATAAAGTGAAGAAATAAAGTGAAGAAATAAAGTGAAGAAATAAAGTGAAGAAATAACATGAAGAAATAAATTGAAGAAATAAAGTGAAGAAATAAAGTGAAGAAATAAAGTAAAGAAATAAAGTGAACAAATAAAGTGAACAAATAAAGTGAACAAATAAAGTGAACAAATAAAGTGAACAAATAAAGTGAACAAATAAAGTGAACAAATAAAGTGAACAAATAAAGAAATAACTTAAAAAACAAAGTAATAATGAGAATATATAAAGCAATAACTTCAACAAGCAAAGGAATCAAGAAAACAAATAAAGAAATAACTTCAACAAACAAACAAATAAAGTTACAAAAGAATCAAGTGTGCAAATAAAGAAATAAACCAAAGATGTCACTGGGAAATCAAGTAGACAACAGCCAGCTAGTAGTTGTAGTTTTAAAAATGTTAAACAACAAGATTAGTACCCAGAGCTCTTTAGTGATATGGCTGTTCTCATTCATTTTCCAATTTCTGGGCTTTCCTAAAAAGCAAGCATTTTTTTGGCAATGTATATTCTACGTTGTTACAAGTTTCATCACATCTGTGGTTCCTGAATACGTAGCAATTTATCTGGAATCTTTAATGTATTGGGTTGGTATCCCCTCTTTGGTATTCTTGTATCATATTCAAACTAGGGTCAACATTTTTTATAGTTCTTACCTCAGGGGTTTTGTTTCTTTTTTTCTGTATATGAGATCCCCCATGCACCAGTTAGCTGAGAAAAATAGCAACACTCTTTTAGAAGACTGTGTTAAGGGGTCAAACAGGTATAAAGATTGTAAGGACTCCTGGGGTTGGACACCTTTACATGTGTGTGCAAAGAACGGGAATACAGAGCTGGGAGCGTTGCTTCTTAAAGAGGGAGCAAATTTAAATACAAAAACCTGGTTTTTTGGAATTGGGAAAACAGCTTTACAAATAAGCGTTGAAAAAGGTCACAAAAGTTTTGTTGATCTATTGATACAAAAGAAAGCGAATGTCAATGAGCGTACTTTTTGGTCAAGAAAAACCGCTTTACATTTGTCTCTCGAAAATGGACATGAAGATGTTGCTGATGCGTTGTTGCGTGCAGGAGCTGATGTAAATCTGGTTGATAGGCAAGGTAAGACAGCTTTCCATTATGCTGCTAGTCGTGGATGTGATAAAATCGTAAAGCTGCTTTTAGAAAGAGGTGCTGTTATTAATAGTAGAAACGAGCATGGAAAGACTGCGTTACACTACTGTGCAGAAACAGCAAATAGCGTCATGACAAATATTTTACAAAAAGCTGGAGCCTCAGCAAACTTAAAAGACAACGAAGGTAAAATACCTTTACACTATGCTGCCATCAAAGGGCGTACAGAAACAGCTTTAACGCTGGTGAAATTTACAGACTTTCTCGATACGACTGACAACTGCGGCAAAACGGCTTTACACTACAGCTCCCAGAGAGGCCTCACGGAAGTCGTGAAGACGTTAGTGGAAGCCGGAGCTGGTGTTGACGTCACTGACCATTACGGGAAAACCCCATTGCACTACAGCGCTGAAGCAAACTATCTTAACGTAATCAGAGTACTCGCCCAGAAGGACGCTAACCTTGACATTGTTGACACTTCCGGTCAGACAGCCTTGGATGTGGCCACGGAAAAATCAAACGATGACGCTGTTGCAGTTCTGAGAAAACACGGCGCTAAGGTGTTGAAACAAAAGAGAAATAAATTCATGGCAGCGTGGAGTTGTACCAGAAGTCTAGTAATTCCATCCACTTGGGGTAAGTTTATTTTCATCTGTCATTTTTGTCTTGTACCCTTCTATTTTTTTTTCAGATTATTGTAAATGAAATATTAAAACAATAGTGTTGCGATTATTTATATGCGATTCTTAACTATAAAACGAAAAGTAGGTAGATCGTATCATTTTTCGCGACTCACATTCAACCATTTCATGCTTTTAATTTTAAAGTAAAATGTAAATACCTAAAGAAAATATCGTCTTAATAGTACACTGATATTTTTTTCAGCTATACAGACAGGATATTCATATCTAGCAAACAGTTTGAAATCAAATTCTCCAAGATCGACAACATCCTCTACAAATACAGAAGTCAAAACACAGCTTAATTTGAATGCTACTGGATCAGAAGTTTCAGCTTCTGAAGATAAAATACTTGATATTGATACAACATCTACAACACCTATTAACATACCATCAAATACTGATACAGCACCAACCACTAATAATGCACCTGTTACAACAGCAACTGCTTTTAGTAGTGAGATACAACCAACGTCTTATATTACACCAAATACTAAAGCCACACCAAATACAACACCAACTAATGATGTACCACAAACTTCTCATACTACACCAAATATTGAAAATACACCAAATATTGAAAATACACCAAATACAACACCAACTAATGATGTACCACAAACTTCTCATACTACACCAAATATTGAAAATACACCAAATATTGAAAATACATCAAATACAACACCAACTAATGATGTACCACAAACTTCTCATACTACACCAAATATTGAAAATACACCAAATATTGAAAATACACCAAATACAACACCAACTAATGATGTACCACAAACTTCTCATACTACACCAAATATTGAAAATACACCAAATATTGAAAATACACCAAATACAACACCAACTAATGATGTACCACAAACTTCTCATACTACACCAAATATTGAAAATACACCAAATATTGAAAATACACCAAATACAACACCAACTTTTGATATACCACAAACTTCTAATACTACACCAAATATTGAAAATACACCAAATATTGAAAATACACCAAATACAACACCAACTTTTGATATACCACAAACTTCTAATACTACACCAAATATTGAAAATACACCAAATATTGAAAATACACCAAATACAACACCAACTAATGATGTACCACAAACTTCTCATACTACACCAAATATTGAAAATACACCAAATATTGAAAATACACCAAATACAACACCAACTAATGATGTACCACAAACTTCTCATACTACACCAAATATTGAAAATACACCAAATATTGAAAATACACCAAATACAACACCAACTTTTGATATACCACAAACTTCTAATACTACACCAAATATTGAAAATACACCAAATATTGAAAATACACCAAATACAACACCAACTTTTGATATACCACAAACTTCTAATACTACACCAAATATTGAAAATACACCAAATATTGAAAATACACCAAATACAACACCAACTAATGATGTACCACAAACTTCTCATACTACACCAAATATTGAAAATACACCAAATATTGAAAATACACCAAATACAACACCAACTTTTGATATACCACAAACTTCTAATACTACACCAAATATTGAAAATACACCAAATATTGAAAATACACCAAATACAACACCAACTAATGATGTACCACAAACTTCTCATACTACACCAAATATTGAAACTACACCAAATATTGAAATCACGCCAAATACAACACCAGCTTCTGATATACCCCACACTTCTGATACAATACCAATTACTTCTATACAACTGCTTTCTCTAACAACAACAATCAAACCATCGACTAATTATATTAATCGCGATACGACACTAACAACTACTACAAGTCGAACTACTGATACACTAAAAACTACGAATACAACACCATCTACAATGCCAAATACTCATATAACACAAACTACTGATAAAACTACTACAAGTCGAACTACTGATACACTAAAAACTACGAATACAACACCATCTACAATGCCAAATACTCATATAACACAAACTACTGATAAAACACCAACTACAACATCAACTAATCATATAACGCCAACTTCTTATGTGCCGCCAACTGTTGATACAACATCAAGTACTGATATAACAGCAACCACTGATACGACAACAACTACTAATACAACGCCATCTACAACATCAATTACTGATAAATTATCGACTGCTGATATACTAACAACTACTGATAAAACACCAAATGCTGATATAACACTAACATCTGTTATACCACAAACTACTGATACAACTCAAATTACGACGCCAACTACTTATATAACACCAACTACGGATACATCCCCAACTACCGATATTTCATCAACTTATGCTATTCCAACAACTACTGATATCCCACCAACTTCTGATATCCCACCAACTACTGATATCCCACCAGCTACTGATATCCCACCAACTACTGATATCCCACCAACTACTGATATCCCACCAACTACTGATATCCCACCAACTACTGATCTAGCACCAACTACTGATATCCCACCAGCTACTGATATCCCACCAACTACTGATATCCCACCAACTACTGATCTAGCACCAACTACTGATATCCCACCAGCTACTGATATCCCACCAACTACTGATATCCCACCAACTACTGATATCCCACCAACTACTGATCTAGCACCAACTACTAATATCCCACCAACTACTGATATCCCGCCAACTACTGATATCCCACCAACTACTGATATCCCACCAACTACTTATCTACCACCAACTACTGATATCCCATCAACTACTGATATCCCACCAACTACTAATATCCCACCAACGTCTGATATACCACTAACTTCTGATATACCACCAACCACTAATACTACAACAATTTCGGCAGCAAAAGCCTTTAGCACATCCACATCAGATCCAAATGTTAATAGCAACACAAGGAATGATAGATCTTCAACACCAATAGCCAGTACCACAACAACAACAAAAAATACCAAATTGACCAATGCTACAGCAACTAAGAACTCGGTTAAGCAAACAATTCAAACTAAGCTCGACCAAAACATTGCACATAATAAATGTACACACATACAATCATCGGAAATGGGCCAACCAAGTCAGAAAAACGCACCAGATAATTTTAGACCACTACACCTTCAAGAAAACTTAACACAACCAAACCTTGAAACGTTTGGGGAGAATGGTCAGACATTCTTTGAAAAACACAAGGATATGTTGGACAACTCAGACGTTATCCAAGAAAGCTCAGATGGAGAAAGTCAAACGAACGGTATGGTAGACTTTCTTTCAATCTGAAACTATCTTAAGTCGTAAGAGTTTTAGTTGTTGATTAGTTAAGTGATGAAACTTGTTTCTGTTTAGATAAGCAAAGTGTGAAGGTCATACAAGAAAAGAATAGCATAAATAGCAAAATGGAAGAAACGAAACGAAAACCAATGCTCAGGTTTGTTAACTATGTAAATTACTTTTCATCGATCTGATATTTGCTATTAAACTGTAATTTCTTTATTTTTTTTAAATTAAATGTAGTATTCATTGGGGCATTAATTTTTTATGAAAACGCTTGTTTTCATTTCTATGTTTGTCAATCCGTTTTGATGGTCAAAGTTTTAATTTTATCCTTAAAATAACAAGTTAAATTCAGTTTCAATAAGGGTTTCTTAGAACAAAAGATACATACGATGCAACTATGCTGGGACAAATCAGCAGATATATATTCTAGCGCCGTATATTGTTCTTTGGAGATCTGTATGAGTTGTGCGTCCTATCCCACAAAAAGTGGTAGTTGGTTATAAAAGCCAAAATGTGAAGCTACGTCTTAATTAGGTAATTATTTGGATTATCCTTGAACTGGTCTATCATTTCACAATCACTGGATAGGGAACATCAATATCAGTGGAATATTTAAAAAAAACGAAAATATAGAGAAGAATTGGCGCTAGAGTGTGTGTTACTGAATTTAAGAAATCAATTCACATACGCTCTTAAAATTGTACAGGTAAATTACATTTCGCTAATTAAGGATCTCTCCTCTAAATTCACTAATTAAAAAATGTAGGAATGATGAAGTGTCTTACTCTTGAATTAAAAAAAAAATTAATATTTATTACATTGAAAAATTTTCCATTCCAGCAAATGGATTAGAACCCGCACTAGTGACGATCGATTAAACGAGACAAACAGCATGAGAAACAGTATGGACGTTGAGAACACAGAAAATGGCGGATATCAACTTTTAAATAGTCGGACAAAAAATGACTCACCAAAATCTACTACAAGATATTTCAAGAAACAGGCCCCAAAGAATAAACTTCACAAGCATTATTACAGTAATGTGGGGCCTCATGCCTACGCCTCCAGGAGAAAATACTTCTGGAAATATAAAGTGAATATTTCATCAAAATATGTCAAGAAAAAAACGAAGAAAACAAATAAAAAGGATATGAATGTTAAAATGAAAATATTGACAAAAGCTAAAGAATTGGATGTCAATTATATCCGGTACCCCAGAGAACCGAAACAAGCCAGATTAAAATCTGTGACGGATATGGATGGTCCTTTACCAGTGTTGGCAGTACAGAATTTGATTGAGCGTGCTCTAAGTACCGAAACAACGAAAATAAAATCTAAAAAACGAAAAGCAAGTGGGATTGGCAAGAGGGTCGTGTGAGTTATACTGCATTGTTTTACTTACATAACCATATATATATATATATATATATATATACATATATATATATATATATATATATATATATATATATATATATATATATATATATATATATATATATATATATATATATATATATATATATATATATATATATATATAGTGTAGTAATTATTTTTATTGATATGCATTTGATTTTTTAGTTTAAATTATTGTGTTTCAGAACTTTCCATCTAAAATACTCCCCAAACATCATACACCATTGCAATCAGTTGAATGTCGAGAATGTGAAATACCTGGCTACTGACAGCAATCAGAACATCTTCATTGGGCACGTCTAGAGTCAGACTGATGACACCACTTATAGTGACACCTAAAAGGTGACATCTTCAGTGGGCATGTCTAGAGTCAGATTGGTGACACCATTTCTGTCACATATGACATCTATATTTTGACATCTTCACGTCTACCATAGAGTGAAGACAGGATGCATACTTTTGCTTCCCTTCGTTTTAAAACACGTCCGTCGATTAATTGGGTTAATGGACGCCAGCGAGAAAAGTCTCAAAGGTATTTGAGAGGTCCATAAATTAAATTTAAATCATGCACTGCGTAGTTACAATTAATATGGTTATAAAATCCTGCCTGTCTGGTTTTTTCGGACTTTAATAAAGATTGGATGTATCTGATGTTTTTAATATTTTCGGTAACTAAATAAAAATAAAAAAACAAAAGCAAAAACAATTTGGTTTTCACGTGTAATAAGGACATAAACAATGACATCCTGCTATTCGATAGGCTGCCATAAATTTTATTGTACACATTGTAAGCTAAAAAAAGAAAAACTATGTCATGGGGTTTAAATTTTCATTGTTATTTAAATATAGATCTGCAAAGTTTTGTAAAAAAAAACTATAAAGTGGAGCTGTCAGAAATCGACCACGGAGTTCATGTACAGCCAATCAATTTTTGTCTTACGAAAGTGAAACATCAAGTTAGAACTTAGGCTTGATGAAAATAAATAGAGATGTAGCCTTAAACTCAACAAACTATTTTCAAGTTCTCTGGATCTGCAACTTGTATAGCATTGATTCTAAAAATATTAAATTTCTGAATTAATTTTAGGCTTAAGTTTTTAATAAAATTTTATCTTTTATTATTTTTACGGTCCTAAATCTAAAACAAATCACATTTTTATTCCATGTCAACAACATTACGGAAGGATTTTCGTCAACTCATTGGTGTCCATTGTGTTATTCTTTGCCACCAGTTAGTAAGCGTACTTGTTCTCAATATTTTATAATAGAAAAGAAAATTAACTTGTTTTCATGTCAATTATTCTACTTGTAAATACTACCAATGAATATTTTTTTTATAAATATTAACTAAACCGCTAACTGAAACGTAGTTTCATGTAACACTGAAATAATAATTATAAAATATTTTTAATATACGAACACATGTATTTTGTGAAGATGTATCTGATTTTAAAACAATGAGAATGCGCAACATGGTTTAAAATATATAATGAGCTATGACTAATTTGTGTGGAATAGCCTACTGTCACTTCATTTCATGAATTAGTTTTGCTAAAGCTTTTTGAGAAAAAAAAATCTTACAAAGTGGGCTGTGGTGTGTAGAGAGCACAAATAATGAGGAAATTGAATTATTTTATCAGTTAATGTTTATTTTGCAAAATAACAGTACGTAGCAATTGTTCTACAGTATGCAGCTGTTTGTAAAAATATGTTTAAATAGAAAAAAAAATGATTAATCAGTTATCATTGAAAATTTATTGAGTAATTATTGATTTGAGTAAAACACTTATTCATCCCAAATCTGGAGCATCAGAAATTCATTTACTAGATAGCAATTTACATTTTTTGCACAATATTGCTATCACCAGTTGTGTCCTCTTTCTTAGTAATGCTGCATCTTTTTATTGTGTCAGTCAATAATTAGCCACAGTTTTCTCAGCAGGACGTCTATCTAGTATAATTTGAAATTGTTATTGTTTGAAAATGCAAAGTGGTTTTCAATTACTCAAACTTGTTGATAGGAAAGAAATTAGAATATATCTACAATGCTGATATTTGGCCATTATTAGAACTTTTTCCTTTGCAATGAAACCAGAGACATGACTGTTAGAAGCCAATGAATTGATTTATATTTGCTATATCAAAGACTTCAAGCTTTATCTGGATTCCTCTGTACAATGTAGATCTAGAAAATATATTCACCCAGTATACTAACATAGTCTTTATCCATGGTGTGAAATAAAATAATCTTGAACAGCCGAAAGGCCTTGCACTAAAAACTAAGTTGGTCAATTCCTATTCCTCACAAATACTAGAGAGCATTCATGTGTTTTAGTTAACCATTTGCTAGACTAGCATCTGCTTACATCTTATAAATGTACATCTTTTAACCCTAGGCCTACAGCTTATGAATGTATATCAGAATAAAGTCTACCGCTTTACTTGCTCTGAACCAATCCCTTTATTTTCTCTATATCACTTTCTAAGTGTTCTATTTCAGTTACAGTAACACCTTAAATATCAGGTGAATAAACAGATGAATAATTAGACATTAGTGACCAAAGAAATATGCAGTATCTATTTCAGACAGAATTCTTTTGTGAGAATCTTTACTCATCCTGTAAAAAAAAATAATGTCACTACTAAAACAAACTATATTGTTTCCAGATTGATTTATTTTATCTTCATACATGCACAAATTAAATTATAATTCAAATAAAAATAATGTAACACTGCTGCTTTTTATATACTGGAGGATTATTATTTTATTTGCAAGTATAAGTACTATATGTAAGAATGTCAATCAAATATTATTATGCCATTTTTTTAAACAATAATTACCATTAAAATATTTACCATAGGCCTAGTTATTAGATTGTAACTTCATAAGATAAATAATCAAATATTACACCAATTTCCCTTTCATTTACATTCTCCTTGAAGTCTATCATCTATTTCAGTCAGAACTGATTCTTGACAAAATTTATCACAAACTCTAGACAAAAAAGATCCAGTAAAAAAAAATAATAGAATGTCAGCACTAAAACAATCTCTAATCATTCATGAACTTCATGATTTATAAATTAAGTTTTAATTACTATTATAAAAATAAGTAAACCACCACTGCCGATAGTAATATTATTGTTTGTGTACTGGTATGTAGTAAATAATAAGTAGACTAAGTATGTAGGTCTATGCCTAATATTATTATTATTTTTCATCATCAATAATTACTATAGGCTACAACTTTCTAAGCTTATTAGACCCAAACAGTGTCTATACATGTATGAATTAGTATGATTAGAGAATTATATGCAAGTTATTCTAAGCAGCAGGTAGTGAATATCAGTCTAATACTATATTACTATTGTTATACAATATGACACTTTATTTTTTTTTAATAGTAGCACTACACTGTACACCCTTTATTATAAGCTTATTATAGTAGAACACTAATCATCTGGATGTATATAGTACTAAGTAAGTGCTAAATCTAAGTAAATTAGTATATAATAGCCTCATGATTGACTATATTATTATTGTTACAGATTTTGACACTATTTTTCTACTTTGATTTACATAGTATTATAAAAATATGAAAGAAAAACAAAACAAAGCTAGTGTAAGAACCAACAGTTGACTAGAGTCTACCTACTAGACGTTAGGAATTGTTCAATCAACTAATAATTATACTACATAAAAGTCAATATACGTTAGTCCCAGCTGATGCCATTGTCATACCGATGCATGGTGTATTAAATTTGCTACATACAGTAATTGGATATTATTAGCACAAATATAACAAAAAAACTTATTTTTAGGTAAATTTACTCACCTGAGATTGGTATATTTTTTTTCAAGAAGAAAATCACGGTCTGTAAATTTTTATTATTTTATCAAAAAAAAAAACCACCTCGATCACAGCTGTCCGACCAGTGTAAAAATCGGAATCAAACTCTAATGTGTGAAACGAAACACACACATAGTCTGTTTCGGGTATGAATTTGGGTCAAAAGTTATCAAGCTAGAGTATGGTATATTAAAAACTCAGACATTAACATTTGTGTAGATTCATTTGGGGTTATTTCACTTTGTAGCAAAATTGATACAATATGAAATGAAGGTTAATAAAGAAAATTATTTTTTTTTGTTGTATTAGATGATAGATGGAAACATTAATGTGTTTTAATTTTGATCGTATGTATATACCATCAGAGCTGTTATATTTATCGCAATATAATAAATCACAATAACCTTAGAAATGGTGGGTGAAGAAGTTTTGTGTAAATGAATTCAAAAGTACCGTTGACAAAATACGCAACTCAAAAGTCTTCAAACTATATTTAGAAGAAAAGGATGTACAGAAATCCGGAGGCAACGAAACGTCGTGTCACTTTTAAGTGTATTGAAAAAACTTGCAGATAGCTATAAAAGACAAGCTTTCAAGTGCACTAAAAATTAAAAGAAAAAACGACATCTATTTTGATATCAGTAAAAGCGCGTAAACACAAAAACGACCAACTCCCAAACTATCATAAGAGATCGAACATAATATGACTCGAAATTTAGGAGGGTTGCGGATCAATATTGTGTATTGTATTATATGGGGTTGAAAGGTATAAAGCTCCGCTATTTATTATATTGCGGCATTTCATTAATAAAGAATAATTGGGAGAGTACTATAATTCGACACTGGTTCACACATTCATTTTTATCAGTTAAAAATATTTACGCTCACCTGATTTTCGCACGCAACGTGCTCTTGGTTCTGTTACCTATATTTTTATTTACAGCATTTTTTTTGTAACTCATAAAGTAATTACAAATGTTATCCAATATTTGTTTACTCTAATAAATGCACATATCGCAGTTCACTTTGTGATAATATAAGCAACTTATACTATTTTTTACACGGGCCGCAAACTTGTTAATTAAGTTTACTTGCCGGCTGAAAACCCTTGCAAGACAAGTGGTCATCAGACTGGGCTGTCAGCATTGTTACTACTTAAATAAAGAATCGTCTCTAGACCTAGATGAAGTAGAGTTCATATGTTTCTTGACCTCTTGAAGAGATGGTGTGGTCATCACATTGCGCAGCCGCCTTTACTTTCTGTATAATGAGTTATGCACCATCACAGCAGGGTGGACTGCTGACGTTATACTGACTTTGATCCGGATTCGAACTCGAGACTTTCGGGTGGGTAGTCTAGCGCTCTACCAGCTACTACAATTTTATTAACTGCTTTCCCTGCCTGTGACTCAGTTCACGAGGCAGTATGTGACGTATTTGACCTACTTTATTCCCAGCAGGAAGTGACGCAGAACCACCCTACTGGTTAAAGTGGAATATTTCATAAATTATTATCAGTAAAACGCAGTTTCTTCCCGACAGAAAGTCCACCGCTTCCCACAAACGAAATGGAATTTATACAGAAAATATATACTTTTACCAGTGTACGCCCACCTTCCTGAAAATAAGTCCACCCCCCCCCCGCCCCCCTGAAAATATAAAATGCGCCCCACCCCCGCTCGGGAGATAATAGTCTCGAAGAATCACTGATTGGTAAAACGGTAGACGATTATAATTTTTTACCTGTGATAAATACTACTGCGTGTTAATTCATGTATTTACAAGCTATGATGTAAATCTCATTTTATCCTCTTCAGATTTACTTAGTATATGAAAAGTTATGAGGGGAATCTCATTTTATCCTCTCTATAAGATGTTATGAATTAAGTTAAAATGATCAGGGCTAGGGTCAGGAAACTTAT